GTAAGTTATTCTATTGCATATTTGAAAATCTAACCTTTTTGCAAAATCTAATATGAGCAGAGTAAAAAATGAATCAGTGACTCAAATAAAGTCAAATGTTCTTAATTTAAGTCATTTTAACTTTCCTAGATATTGTTTTTGCTTTATAACACTTGCTGTGATGATTTTGGTTCTTAAATATTTAAATTCAGGCAAATTAAAGGAATAAAAGTCATTTTAATGTGTAGTAAAGTTGGTTAGTTTTGTTTTATTAATAGAACTTTTCATCCAAACTGAAACTGTTGAATTGTTGAAACGTGAGGGCAATAAAAAAACAAAAATGCTTTTACTTTTGATCAGAAAAGCTACACACTGTGGCTTTAATTATTATCAGGAGTTTATGTTAAAGTGTCCAAATGCACTTTATTTATAAAACATGTAAAAGTGTCTGAAAGTGTTTCAGTGTGGAGCAGGAGACAAGTCAAATGTTTTTAATTTAGGTCATTTTAACTTAACTAGATATTGTTTTTGCTTCTTAACACTTGCTGTGATGATTTTGGTTCTTAAATATTTAAATTCACGCAAATTATGGGAATAAAAGACATTTTAATGTGCAGAAAAGTTGCTTAGTTTCATTTTATTAATAAAACTTTTCATCCAAACTGAAACTGTTGAATTGTTGAAGCAGAGTTATAAAACGTGAGGGCAATAAAAAACAAAAATGCTTTTACTTTTGAGCAGAAAAGCTACACACTATGGCTTTAATTATTGTCAGGAGTTTATATTAAAGTGTCCAAATTCACTTTATTTATAAAACATGTTTGAAAAAAAAATACAAGTGTCTAAAAGTGTCCAAAAGTGTTATTATAGATATTGTTTTTGTTTGTATTTATTTATTTCCAGTTAAGGCATTTTGTTTAAAAATAAATTTTGAATCCAAGTAAGTATTTCAAAAAATAAATTTCTAGTAAACGTGTGAAACTAGGCCTGTTGTTTCTGGAAATTAAAGCTAAACAATGTTTCTGATTCTCACCCTGGAAAAAAATAAAGCAAAATAAAAGCACATAAATAATAATAATGAATAGTAAAAATAAAAATATACAACATGATGCCAAAAAAATCGCCTGCCTGTTGTGTTGAAGTTTCATGAATTATTAAAGTTCCTGCGCGATGGACTTAAATGTGAATAATGAAATGCGGGTTGTGAATCTTCCCAAACGCGGATAATTCTGGTTCAGGCTGAAGAAATGAAACAAATCCCGTTAATCTCCCGCAGTAACAGTGTTTTGGTTGGCGTTTGCGTTCGCCTCGTCCTCTGCTCGAAGTGCCAAGTGCGTCAAACAATGCGCAGAGTTCAATTGCAAACAGATGTCTACGCTTGAAGAAATCCGTCAAAAAATTCGTCAAAAACTCCTTTCTTTTTTCTGTGACCATCTACTCCAGGTATTTACAATCAAGATAATGTCTCCTGGATTTTCTCACGAGGAGCTGGGATAATTTAGATTTGCAGTGAAACATAAACAAAACAAAAATACAAGTCACTTTTTGAAACTTTTGTTTTGGTTTTTGCGAAGAAACTAACCAACAAACTCCACTCTGCCTTAAAGTACACAGACATACAAAAATATTCAAAGCTTAAAAGTCAAATCAGGGGTTTATTGTGCAAATGACCTCTGAGCTTTAAATCCATTACATAGATTAGTTTGGATTTGCACGGTATGGCAACAGTGACGTCCAAACTACTCGTGAGAAAAACGCACTTTTTTAACTTTTTAACATTCCCAGTGACCACTAAAGCCACCTGCGCGTTTGTGTATCTCTCATATCTTGAAGGTGAAGTTCATTCGACATTCAAACTTTAGCATGATGATGTCTGGAGAGGTTTTTCCCCCCGCGCGCAGATGGTGCAGCCTGCGAGCCTGCGTCAATGCAAAAGCAATTAGCGAGGAAGTGTATCCGGGGCAGGAGACGAGAAGAGGAGAAGAGGAGAAGAGGAGAAGACCACCACCACCGTCACTCGTCTCTCTCCCTTCCCCCGAACTTGAATTCGACCGTACAGACGCAAGAATTTGGCTTTGAGGGCCGAGCTACCAAAGCAAAGCGCGCAGGCTGTTCAAGTGAGGCAAAGGAGAACGAGAAATCTTTCAAAAACATTCAGAGTTTTGGTGTTTGGATTGTACAGGAAAGCTTAACAGTCACACCAATGAAGAATAGAGTTTAACAGAAGGATGAATAAACAAATGAAAGTCTTACCTCAGTCCACGCACGTAGTTTGAGCCTCTGACTTGGACTTCACGTAGGTGGCTATTCGCTTGTATCACGCATGGTCAGTTTTGTGGTGTCTGTCTGGCCCTGAGGGAAGAAGAGCAAGTAGGCGAAGGGGGGAACCGAAGGGCCCATAACAGAATACTATGGCGGCTATAAAACCAGGCAGTCTGCGCTTCAAGGACTGCCTTTGGTGTTTTTTTCCTCCGCTGTGTGCTCAATTACAGCCCAAAAACGCACAACTCTAGAATTCGTGTGGAAAGAGCCGCGTAGAGGCGGGGCGAGCGCGCGCTGAAAGAGACTTGTTGTTAGTGTCCTTCATCCAAATAAAACCGAGGGAAAGTCGGGGCAGGGGGTTTTGATACACAACAGTTGGTGTGATATTTTTGAGCTAGGGTTTCAAGCGTGATGTGGCCGCGGGGCTGGACTGGACTGGACTGTGGTGTGGTGTAGGCTGCCGGCGGCTGGTGCGCGCATGGGAGAGAGCTGCTCTGGCCGAGTGTGGGGGCCCATACTTCCAGAGGAGCTTAATCCCGGCTCAGCTCGCCCTCATTCACAGCACATTAGAGTCAAGTTGCAGCGTCTGGGCGCACCGAGCTCCGCGGTGGCCCACTAAACGCAGAGCCGGGGAATTTGCGCGGTGACATGTTTATCAAACCGAATAACTCAAGCCCCATGCGCCTCCAAACACGCCATATAACATCTATTAGCTCTGCAGACAGTATATTTGCAAACCACGACACTGAAACATGACCATAGTTGTATTTATAATTTAATGTGTAAATAAAAACCCAGGATGTTCGTTCATACACTGCGCAACATTATCTGCGTTCTGGCCGTATTATGCGCCATTACGCATACAGCCATAAGCGAAAGGGAAATGAGAATAGGACACTCAATTTTACCACCAAACACGTGCCAAATGTTACAATAGTGACTGCAAAGTTATTGTATTTTGCATCAAAGTCTATTTGAGAAAAATATTTGCTTTCAGAGCTGATGAAAATCCGTGCGTAAAAGTGTTACGGTTGCAAACGCTACTGCGCGCCTTTTAAAATCAGTTATTGGGTCTATTAAATGTTAATATGAAGGAAAACAGACCAGAGAAGCAAACAGTGATAAAAAATACAATTTTATTATTTCAAAGCAAAACATTTGAGTTTTTAAAGAGGCTGTGAGTGATGGGGCTGTCTTATAGATTAGCGCTAATAAGCCATTAGTTCTTTTATTTACGCAGATGTATTTACAGACTTGTCGTGCGGACTCTGATCCACATTGTGTCCTCACAGTTCAGTTTAGGTCATCTCTGGCTCTATCTGGTCTCACTCTGATGCGGAGCCATTGTGGCTGCAGTTGAAACATAAGCCGCTACTTTGAACATGACCCTGATAACCAAATGCCCAGCAGAGCCAAACGCCGCGCTGTAAAGCACCAAATGATGATGACTCAGAGGCTTCTAAAAGCAGACGCAGATAAACGAGCCTCTTCCTCCTTCAGCAAAGCGCGCGACCATGTGACCCGCGCTTTTGTCCAGAAAGGCCATCGCTGTTATTACCCTTATCACCCAAAGAGCAGCTCTATTCACCAGTGAGCCATTCAAGGAAACACCCACAGGAGCCTCGAACTAAACTTACTCAACTACTACTACTACTACTACTACTACTACTACTACTACTACTACTACTACTACTACCACTACTACTACATTTTAAACTTATTTTCCAAAACAATAAATAAAAGTATATAAAAAATAAAACAACACGTGTGAGTGAGCATAAATTAAAATAATAGTTTTAAACTGATAAAAACATGCCCCAAAAGAGCGCGCGATCAGAATCCAACTCATTAACATATTTTAATAGAAAAAAACAACAACTTGGCTTTTGTTTTTGATTAGTTCTGTTTTCCACGTCACGTCTAGGAACTTTAATGAGCAGCACTTTCTGCAGCATAATGGAAGATTTTCACTTTTCTCATTAATTTTTTAAGCGCATTTAAATTCTCTTTTCAAACACGCGTGTTTCCATTTCCAAACGCGACACGAGCGTCCAGGGGCCACATTTATATAAGAGTTACGCAAAAGGAGTAAGTTAATGTTATATTTTAGTACTGACTCTTCGTAATAATCATAATTTAAACCGCCTGTTGATGAAAGCTGCAGCCTCGTTAGTTTCTGTGTAATCTTAGGTAGTTTTTTTTTCCAGATGAGAGTTAAATATGGACTAAAGCAACGCAAAAACCTGAAGAGCAAATAGAGTTTTGCAACACTTTATTTACATTTTGGCTCCAGCTCTGATTTCTGCGACAGTCTCTCATTCTGCTCCAGTTGTCTGCCTCCCCTTCTGCTTTCACGTCTTCACTCGTTCATTTTCACAGTGATAAAGCACCAATGTCAAATCACGAGCACTACACCTAACCACACTTACGCACGCACACACACACACACACACACACTTACACACACGCAGAGACTCACGCGCGCGCATACACACACACGCAGTATGAAAATCTGTCAATTTCTGCCGCCGCGGTCACGTGATCCCCGCCTCGCCTCCGTGGAGTGGATGGAGATGGCCCTCCACGTCAGCTTACGTCTACCAAATTTCTGCTCAGCGAGACCTGCTTCAAAGGAGCGAGAGGCACGGCGCGTTCAGAGCCATGTTCAGGGCGGCTCTAGACCAACCAGAGCCGAGTTTAGAGGCACTGTAACCGGAAGGCTCCTGCCAACCCGTGTCTAACCAGTGCATGTACGCGTGATGATGGATTTTGACGAAAGAGTCCCCGTCGGTTCGAACATGTATCTGCCCAGTTGCACTTATTATGTTTCGGCAGCGGGGGCTGACTTCTCCGCGCTGCCCTCGTTTTTGTCCCAGAGCCCTTCCACACGCCCGGTCACGTACTCGTACTCGTCCAATCTGCCGCAGGTCCAGCCGGTTCGGGAGGTGACGTTCAGGGACTACGCTGCTATTGACGCGTCCAGTAAATGGCCACACAGCCGGGCGAACCTGCCTCAGTGTTACCCCAGCGCGGAGGAGGTGGTTCACCGGGACTGCCTCTCCGCCCAGTCCGCTGTTGTGAGCGACGTGTTCGGGAAAAACAGTCCACTCACCGCGGCGTACCACCATCACCACCAGCACCACCAGAGCTCGTCCAATTTCTACGGCAACGTGGGGCGGAATGGCGTCCTGCCGCAAGCCTTCGATCAGTTTTACGAGACGGCGTACGACAACACCGCCTCCAACAACAATAGCAACAACAGCAGCGGCACCACCACGGCGAACTTCTCAGGGGACAAAGGCAAGAGCAGCGCGGCGGCGGACAGCGAGGACACCGCCGCGTCCGAGCACAAGGAGCCGCGGGGGGACACCAGCAGCCCCGAGCTCTCCTCTGGCAACAATGAGGAGAAGTCCAGCGGCAGCAGCGGCAGCAGTACGTATTAAAGTCAGCGCCTCGGTTATAAGAGAAACTTTGCAATCTCGCGCGTCGCTGTTAAAAATTTTATATGCTGTTTTATAAGCATATAAGGTTTATAGAGGGCCCGTGTAACCCCCCACTCCAGCTCCAGCAGTCTTACCCCCAACTAAACTTTGTTATTAAGCGCAGGATCACGTGTTTGCAGTTGAAATTGGCCGTGAAATAGATCAGAGCTCGTCATTTCACTTTTAACTCAATCTGACAGTTTTGTCTTATAGCGTCTTGTACAATGTCCATTCAGAGCTTTATTAAGGCGCTAGTTTCACGGCTTCTTAGTGTTAAAGCAGCAGTTACATGTAATGAGGCTGCTGCAGTTTGGTCCCTATTATGGCAAAGCGAGTTCTGTGCGCGTTTTACTGTGCGTAAAAGTCACTTTTAATATAAACCGGCCCAGTCTCGGCTTCTCAATATTTAAACCTTCACCTGCGTTTAGGAACAACGAAAAGGCACGTCGTTATATTTGAGAATTACGTGTAGTTGTGTAGCTGTGCAGTTGAGTATTTGTATTTTGTTGTCTAAAAAAAGTAGTGTGAACATCTATAATCTTTTATACAACGCGTAAATGCTTTAATCCTCGTGATTCTCCAAAGTATTCCCTCATAATCCATGTGTTGCTTTACTGTAGGTGTAACTTTCAGTGTCAATATTTCAGAGTGGAAACGCTGCTGAAGTGGGCCTAGAGTTACACACCACTTCTACGTGTGTGTTTGGTTTCAAATCTAATCTTAAAGTCAATTGGGAGTATCAGTGGTGCTCTGTGATGGCCTTCTATGGGCTCTTTGTTTACAGGGACGCGCTCATAACACAAGTTTAAGTCAAAGAAATGATTTGGATAAAGTAAATTGTTTGGAAATAGTAATGTACTCATCAATATTCAAAACAGTCTGTAGTTAAATTCAAATTCGACGCTTTTTATTTGTTTACACGTGTTATTGTTTGCGCATTCGTGTTACGTGTTCATATCAAATCATAAATAGTATTTCTAACATTGCTACTTTAAAAATACGTTGTTTTATAGATTTATGTGTTTTTTATATTTATAATCAAATGTAATAAACAAATAATCCAAGTTTATTCACAATGAGCGAGTGGTAAATTCCTGTAAATGTAAAATTGGCGTAAAACTGCAATGTTTACGCGTAAAACCAAATCCACAAAAGTGAAATTGTCCAAATCTCACCTTGTTGCTTTGAACAGAAGGTCATAGCTCAGGTGCACGCGCACTGTGTACATACAATGGTGGATCAACTGCATGAATACACTTGGAGAGTAAAGATCAAATCCAGTGTTGTAATTGTTTTAAAAATAATTGAGACACTTTTTAGCATTTCATTTTTAACTTTTCGGTGTAAAATGTTAAGAGTGAATTATAGTTTTAATAATTTTGTGTAAATAAACAGGAAAAGTCAAAACAAAATCCCGTCTCTTGAAATTTGAAATCAGGAACTTTCTACATTTGTAGTTTGCTCAACATCAAAGGGTCAAATTCAAAGTGAACGATCACATGTCGGATCTGAACACGGCCCTAACCTTTCCAGTGTAATTTAATATCTCTGTATGTGACACAAAAGGGAAATGTGTTATTAATGCGCTCGGAAATCCGTCCATGCGTAATGCGCCTTTTACACTTCCACACCGTGTCAATCTTTTTATACCGCGGTCACGGCCCATTGGAGGAGCTTGTGTAGGTTTGCTCTGACTGTTCCTGTGTTACTGTTCCGCAGGTGGGCAGAGGACTCGCAAGAAGAGGTGCCCTTATTCCAAATACCAGATCCGAGAACTTGAACGCGAATTCTTCTTTAGCGTGTACATAAACAAGGAGAAACGCCTGCAACTGTCGCGGATGCTCAACCTCACCGACCGGCAAGTCAAGATCTGGTTTCAGAACCGGCGGATGAAGGAGAAAAAACTCAACAGGGACAGGCTACAGTATTACACATCCAACCCTTTGCTCTAATACCACCCGGGGAGCCTCTCTGTACATTGACTCAGCTTCAGACGGCTCACTGTACGGCCGTGCGTCACAGCGGCGCGCCGGGACGCAGCAGCAAACATATGGTTAATTTCAAGTTCGAGGACAGCTGGGATGGAACACTTCAAAACGGGACTGAGTGAACCGCATTGTGGACTTCACGATTCACTCTAAGGACGGGACTTTGGCGAGGACTTGCGGGCTTGGGCCTACATGTGAATACGCGCCTTTGCCGTGGACTCATTGACAAAGGTGTTTTTTTTTTTTTTTTGTAATCAAAGAAGAGGGAGAAATCACAACGCGCACGACGGCGACACGAATCAGCAAAGTGGTGTGACCAAAAGTCCAATCAGGCTCTGAGAATGTACCGTAGAACTCGGTGTGTTAGGCTATTTATTTTGTAACCACTCCTTTATTCTTGTTATTTCAAAAAAAACAAAAAAAACAAAACAAAAACAAAAACAAAAAAGCCAAGGCCAGTTCAAAAACAAGAAGACACGCGTAATAGAAGTGCGCTCTATCCAAGACTATCAGTGGAATATATTGGTGATAAAACAGGCCAGAACCAGGGGAATAAGCTCCGCAGTGTCACACACCCTCCATGCCCACACAGGTAACACGGCAGGACGGTATCAATATTACTCCGCGTAAGATCTATTTTCATGACTCTTTTGGTCCTTGGGAGGAGAGACGTTTCCATCTCCAAGGCTGGTCAGGGTCATGCGGCTTGGTTATGTCCAGATTATGATGTATCATATATTTACAAATAAAATCACACGAATAAATATGTATGAGTGCTTCTTGCCTGGATTCATTTTAATATTTTATTTAGAAATGTAAAAAAAAAAAAAAGAAAAGTGGCGTAAGCTTTGCGCGCTTTTACGCACGCGAAAATCACACATTTAAGGTTTTCTTTTTTCTGTTTTTATTTTCGCTTGTCTTTTTTCATTATTGTTGTTTAGTTTGTGTGTATTTAGTTGTGTGTAAAATCTCAGTACACCTATAGTTTAAATGTTTTCTAACATTTGGAGTAAAACATCCAAACTGCAGCTAAATGACTGCACCCAAAACACACATTTACTTTGCACAAACCACAAGCTGCAATTTAACCAAACAAACCCGTCACATGTTCTGCACTAGAAACGTGAAGCTGAACATTGAGGTGGAATCCTGATTTTAATAGATTTTTAGAAAGGTTTTATAGAGATAGAACATTTAAAAATAAATAAATAAATAGTACAAATAAAAATGAGGGCACCAGCATTGTGCGCTCGTCACGTACAATGGAAAAGTGTAACCTTGTCTGTGTCCTCAGTCCAAACAAACAAGTTCATTTAAAAGCACATTTAACTAAAAAGTATAATAATATAGGACTGGTCTGTTTTGATTTAAGGCAGGATTTAAAAGAAAAAAAAATCGCAAATAATGTGTTTTTGTGTTTTTATGACTCGCAGGACTCGGCATGTCGCACGCACATTCACACGGGAGACTGGTATGCTTGCATGCTTACTCATATATGATTGTGTTGAGAAGGTATGTGCTTCTTCTTTACGTCATATCTTTAGAACTTTTGATGTTTCTATCGGATCATTCCCTTCTTTATTGTCCCAGCTGGAGACTTCTCCACACAGACGGAGTAAACAAAGCCTCTATCACATTTTACCACCCAAACACAAGTTATTGTCAAATGTTGCACGCAGAATCAGAGAGTCACGATCCTCCAAATCTCCCAAATGTCACTGGCGTGGCGTTAGTGGAGCTGGTGTCCACTCTGAGCCTTTGCCATGGGGTCGCCATGTTGGCTGCTGTTCTGCTTGTGTTTATGGGGGCTAGCCACAGCGCATTGGCGTTCATCTATGACAGTCAAAAGGGTCATAAACACGGCAGAGAGGCTGAAGTTTATGGTTGCCTCTCTCTGGCCTTGCGTTGCGCATCCTTTACTGCGCGCAGGAATTCCGTCCCTAATTACGGGACATCCTCCCCGTCACCAAGGCAACTGGGCCATAAAAGCTGTCTGGAGAGTCTGGAGCATTTGTACAATTGGAGTGCAGTGCAATAAACCGTCTCAGACCCAAGGTTATTAACTAGGGTTTCCAAGGAGCAGCGACAGTGAGAGGACGTAGAGCCAAAGGCTCCTCTGTGCGTCCATTTCACACGCTTTTAGCTTCTCTGCTCCACACAGTTTGGTGACAAAAGCAGATGCAAGGCAAGGTTCGAGTTTCACCACGGGGCGGCGCTGTTGGGACCAATGTCAATGCCGTGGATTCGTCCGAGCCCACATGGATCAGGTAAATTAACCAACCTCTTCACCCTTTGCATCGCTCGTCTCTACAGCGCTGTCTGTCTGCATGCTGGACGCTCTACGTAACCTTACGCACACGTTTACTGTGGCGTTCCCCGGTCCCATGTCCCGTGTCGGTGAACTAGCCCTGAGTGGGGCCCTCATAGGGCAGCACATGTGCTCCGAGGCTGTGCTCTCTGCATGTGCTCCTCATTTTGCTGAGCCGGGGCTTTTTACTGGCTCAAGTACAGCCTGTTGGAGCGCGTACCTGGACATCTGCACGGAATCCAGGAGCTAAAGGGGAAAGGGAGAAGCCTCTCATGTCCGCGCTCGGCTCCTTCTCGTGACAGACAGCGGTGCATTAACGATTCCTGCTGGATCACGTGCTAATGCGGCTTTAAGCGTCTGCTCGGCTCTTTGTCTGCGCCCTGGTGTCTCCATTTTGACGCAGTATTATCCTCAGGAGCTACGTGCCAAGTGTATTAAACCCTGTCTCCACTTTGCTTCAGGGCGAGGGCTCGTGCGCACTGCCAATGCGCAACAAACTACAGCCCCCAAACATGCAGCGCCATTACTGCTCCCAGATCTGCTGTGGACAAATAATTCCTCTTCTGTAAATGAGAAAATCTTTGGCCAAATCGAGTTTAAAGTTGCAATTCAAGTTAAAACAGCCATAGCACGTGAAAACTATTATCAGTGTGAAATAAATCACAGAATACATCCTACATGTCAACAGTAAATACCAGAATCTTTTGTACTCATGTTAACAAATGTTTTATTTACTGCACCTTTAATTATAACAATTAAAGTGCTGCTCCCTAAATTGAAATAGTCACAAACTCCACACACAGACCGAGATCACGCACTGGATCCACAGGCCTCCTCCCTCACTTCAAATATCATTATTAACGCGAGCTCTTTCTCTGGGAAATTCCAAAAAAGCCGCTGTATTTTGGTCCAGGCACATTTAGGATGCAGAAAATGTCTCTTTTATTTGGAGTAAATAATCAGCACTAGATTCCACTCCTGCAAACACACTCACGGACTCTCCTCGTTGTATTTTGTCCTTAAATTGCAAACACAAAACAAAGCCTCTTTGCGCACGGCTCCAGCTCTTTGACAAAACAAGTATCTATCAGTATGTTGATTTTAGCTTCATTTATTGAACAAAACAGCACGCAAATCCCGAAATGGGCCAATCGCAACACCAGAAAAAGACAAAACATTCCCATAAAAGCTACTATTCTAAATATTTACAATGTCATGCTGCTATGTAAAATATTCCTGAACAGACTGATTGTATTAACTAATTAGAGTAATTTAAGCCACGTTTTCATCTTTAAAGGCAGTAAATATTGTATAACATAGCCAGAGCCATCTGATAATTCAACACAGCACGATAATGAAACACAGTGGACTTGTTTTTGTGTTGATCGTTGAAAACATTTGAAGTAAAACATTTGGAAATAAAAAGTGCACAGTGTTTTAAAATAGAGTTAAACTTGATTTTGCTTAGTCCTAGCATTGTTTTGGTGGTGTTGTGGCCTCGAGCATCATTAGCCTTCTCCGTGTGCGCCCCCGCGTGCTCCAGTGCTCGTCCTAAACGCGTTCTTTTCCTCTTTTGTCTCTCGTGAAAAATAAAGACTTCCGCTGGCTGTAATAAAACGCCGCATTATTGTTCATAACTGCACTCGGGACGAACATGAGCCGCGTCTAACGGCCTCTCCGGCCACTATTACACGGGCCTGATCAAAGCCAGTGGTCAGACTCGTCCGTGCGCGGGATATAACAAGCGGGCAGCGTGAAAATGAAGATTTAATAGCGTCAATTAATAACTGTAACGCGCAGATATCGATAGGCCGGTGCCAAAGCGCTTTGTGCTGCGCTCACATAATGAATTGACGTATTTAGTTTCCTCCCGGGCTCATGTGTCCCGTTGGCCACACTCAGGACACTTTGAAGCTCCATCTAACTGAATTTGGTCATGTTCTGGAATCCTGTTTAAATTGTAGGGATTTGGTAAAGAAGCGAACACACGTTTTTCGAGTTAGAATCCCTCTCTGTAAGTACATCTCGCCGCGTTCTCTTATTGTAAAGCGTTCATGTTCGCATAAATAACCTCTAAATGTACTTTTATTCATTTAATCCACGTGAAATATGTCGTTGGGAAGGCAAAGCGATTGACAAATGTCCACCAACGGCGCGTTTCAGCGTTTAACCCCACTGTACAAGCACGAGCTGTCAGTGGCGCGGCTAAAAGCTCAAAAAGGGGCGCAATTTATGCATTTCTGGCCAAATCTCCCCACTGCGGCACACGGAGTCACCCGGGAGCGCTTTGGCACGAGGGGACGAGAGGGTAGAGGGGGGTAGAGAGGGAGGGAGGACACCTGGGCCTGGTAATGGCAAAGCTGGCCCACATTAAGGTAGACGGAGCAGAGCGCACATGGCCAAGGACACAGGGCGCGCAGGAGAGGTTTATTGTGGAGCTTATTGCACCAAATTGGAGCGGCACAGGCTGGGCTGGGGAGGTTCGGGGACGGCCTGGACTTTGAGCTGCAGACGCCCGTTTGTTTGCGCCAGTGTACAGTCCCAAAGAGTCACAAGAGCGTGCGTAAAAGCGTACACTGTCTAAAAGCAACACTTGGTAGATTGTACTTTAGTTGTGTTCAAAGGGAGTTGGTTTTATGGAGGGTAATTGGACTGTTTGGGCTAAATTATTTTAAGGTTTAGTTCCGGGTTTATCACTGTACAAACATGTTTTGTACCTTTTAAAATCGAAGAGCGAAAGTCATTTGTGCTTTACTCGCTTTGGTCATGTTTACATTTTATTATTATTACAATTTTTACTGTTAATTGGTTTTAACTTTTTCTTTATTTATTTTTTTCATTTATGTAGGTGTTCTAGACTCCATTTCCTGTCCTAATTCTGGTTCAGTCCCTGGACTCACCCTCGGTCCCGTTTGTAAAGTGCGCCTTTACAAATGCTTCTGGTCTTAATTAAAGTTTATTAGCAAGGTCTTGTTTTACACATTTTAATACATCAATAAACCTTCCGTGATATTTTTAAAACATCTTGTAAAATTAGAAAAAAAAATCTCCATAATTCTTCAAATGCGTTTACATTTTCCAGGAATATTGTAAATATTAAAACAGAAGTAAAGATAAAAAGTTGTTTGTAATTTTTACTGCGTACAGAATACAGGTAATTCAATGACAATACGTGAATGTTTGTATTAATATAGTGCAATTAACATTAAATACTCAGTTATGGAGTAGTTTGTAGTGTAGGTGTAACAATAAACTTGTAATAAATAGTCATAGTCATTATAATAATTGGACTATTGTCACGTGGTCGTTGGATTTCTAACGCACTTTTACTTTTACGCATTTGGTGACACGCTTAAAGGACGCAGAGCTCGGTATTTTGGACACAGTCGCTGAGCCCCTGTCATAAACCGCACGATTGTACCAAGCCCAGGTAAATCCAGTCCATCAGGCCGGCTTTGGTCCTAACACCTCCGCGCTCTGATGGCTCTGGACGTGCCATTTACGCGCTTTGTGGCCCGTCATTTGCCAAAGGCGCATTGGGCTCCGGTTCAAACGCTTTATGACAGCCCTCAGCCCTGCTTTGTGACTTTATGTCTTTGTTGCAGCACAATCAGTTTAAACTTGGATTGTGCGCTCCGGGCCACAACAGGATGGTAATGAGGAAATTGGGCTATTCTCATTTTCACTTTTACGCACCGTATTTAGATGGTAATCTAATAATAAAACGCACATGCTTTTCATATAACGTGTCCTCCATTCTTTCTTGTTCCACTGCATTTTTCAAGTCACGTGAACACTGAATAAAACAAATGACTTAATTCGGTGACGTTGGTACGCACACCCCAAAAGCGCACCGTTCCAAATCTCCAAATGTGTACGTGCAACAGTGCCTGGTGCCATTGCGCACGGTGTGTATGGAAGAATTTCTCTGTTCTTGGCCTTTATATTTCTGTAATAGTTTGTTAAGTTATGAAGTGCATTTATTAAAGTCCAGACTACACACAAACATCATTTTGGGTCATATTATTTTATGTTCCGTCCAAATAATATGTTTTATTGGGATATTAATGGAAATTATTGCAGTCAGAGTAAAAAATAGCATTGAGAATTTGCAGCCAGGGGGATTTAAAAGTGGATTTGTGATTTGTAAGAGGCTTAAACCAGTCCCCCTCTCCCTGTGCTCCAGCAGCAGAGCGCCCTCTCACACTCAGGCCCTTTGGTTCTGACCCGGTAGAGGTGAGTGCATTGAAACATTCTGATTTCTGTGTTGTCTTCTTTTGCCCAGCTCCATGATGGATGTCTCTACGTAGGCTCAAAGTGGGCGGGACTTTGCACGGTACGGCCCTTCCATTGGCCCCGTGCAGCTCGCGGCCGCAGGGGGGGCTCCTCTGATCACATCCAGCATGTTTTGCACAAGAAATGTCAGCCAGAAAGGGCTACTTTCTGCCTTGGCCCAAACCCGCCACAATAATGTCGTGTTCGGAGAGCGCGGCGGGGAACGCGTTTCTGGTGGATTCTTTGATCAGTGGCCGCGCGGAATCCGCCGCGGCGCACTACAACGCGCCCCACAGCGGCGCGGCTGACGTGCCTTATGGACTCCAACACTATGGATACTTCCCAGGTACGGCCAAGAGGAGCGAACCGGGCCCAGGGGCGTACCTCTCCAGCGTGGACTTGTACATGGACGCGCAGAGGTCGTGTCGCGTGGACACAGACGCGGCGGCTCCCCCGTGCTCGTTCCCTCAGAACATTAAAGAAGAGAGCGGTTACTGTCTGTACGAGCAGCCCAAATGTCCCACAGCAGCCACGGCAGAAGACCTGACGTACTCCCGGCTCACGTCCTCCGCGTGCACACTCAGCGACACTTCTGGAGGCGGCAGGGGCTCGGTGCCAGTGCCGGGCTACTTCCGCTTGTCTCAGACGCACGCACACGCTCATAACTTTACAACAGCCCCCAACCGATCCCTTCCCAACCACACTATAGCCTGCATGCCGCCGCTCCTGCCGCGCCTTCCGCTCCTGCCGCTTCTACCGCTCATTTCCGTGCGCCCTCGAACTCCTCAGCTCCAAATTCGGCTGTGGAGGAGCAGCCCGCGGGCCCCGGCAGCGCGGAGCCTCACGGGAGCGAGGAGGCGCGTGGGTCCACGGATGGAGAAGACTCTTCAGCTGAGGACAACGAGGAGCAGGACAAAGACGCATCAGCAAAGACCAATAAAGGTATGACGTACACGTCAGGACGCACGGTGTGGGGTCAATGCAGCCAAAGCCAGTCTCCATGTTGGTTTTATTCACACTCAGGACCACAGAGATGGCACAGAGTGGCCCTACCTGCAGCCTCTGCCACTCTGGGTGATTTAGGGTGACTTAGATTGTCCTTACAGGATTAGTTTGTCCTTAAAACAATAGTTCAGTGGTGCCAAAGACACTTTAACCCTCCGCTCGTGGCACGTTCCTTTCAATATCGTGTGTTATGATTCATAAGTGGCATTGGAGTGGGCATGCCTCTTTGTTGTAGTGAGGTAGGTGTGGCCCTGCACCATGTTAGAAGCATGGCCAGGCCTCAGTGTCAGCGTGATAAAAACACACAATCACAGGACAGTGTCACTTTTTAAGAATAACTCACATATCATCAAATCAAAAAGATGAGACACACTTTCCAACACTGCTACGTTTGCATCTACATGTGTTTCATCTTTAAATAAATTATAATGTGGCATTACATGACTCAAAGATCTCCAAAATATCACGTTACAAGATACTTTTACACATTTTACTCGTTTTATGCGTTAGTGATACGTGCGCGTGGAGCAGAGTGAACCCACAGCAGCAGTTCAGTTCAGTTCTGTTCTGTTCTGTGACGTTGCGTCAGCTCTTGTAGTTTTGGTGAGATTTGGCAGATCCGGCCTCGCGCTGGAGTAACGGGTGCGCGTGGACATGGGCATGTGTTTGGGTATTCTTAGGTCATGGTAAAGTTCTCCCGCAGCTGCGTCACCGCTCTGTTGTGTCTGCTCATGTTTCAGACTCATGCTGCAATTCACACACAGGTTTCATCTCGTGTAATGCGCAGTGTGACCCTACACCGTCTCACATTTATATCAACAGCATAAATATATGACATGCGTGACCCGCGTGCATCTGCGCACTTATGTAGCTTTGACAGAACTCATTCAATCCATATTTTATTACATAGGTTAATTATGAGAAAAAATTATGTCATTACAAAAACTGATTTAACATTATAAACGTTTAATGCTCAATTAGATCAAACTCAGGAGAAAACACGAACACACTCCTCTAAATGATCATCTGAATTAACCTTGTAAAACATATGCAATATTATTATCACACAAACGCTTCAAAACTACAACTTTTTTGGCTCAAACATCTGAAAACATTTGGTAAATACAACACACGTCCTTTAATACATTTTGTTTACTTCAGAACAACCTTTAAGTCAAATTATACACCATAAATTCACGTGTTCACACACTCAACACACACTCACACACACCTCGACACACACACACATCAGAATAACAAAAAGGCGCCAGCTCAACGTAGGAGCACAAACAAAATTATTACAATTAAGGACAAATATTTACAATTGTACACAAAGAAACTGACAAATTTTCGCTGCGTTTTGAGCTTCCTACATTTGCACAAAAGGGGTTTCTTTAGGAAGACTCGCGCTGAAAAACACGAGAAACACCATCGTGCCTCATTCTCTGCTTTTCTATTTAATTATTCTTTACGCAAACAGTGCCACACGTCTTTTTGAGGTGAATAAAACGCGGATGCACGTCGCTGCAGCTCGTGTTTACGCGACAATCCTCCGTGCGCGTTCTGATACATGCGCCCGGACTATCCATTACTTTTGGCTAATCCTCCAAACCGAAGCGTAACCGACTTCCAAAATGTGAATCTGGCTGTTTTTCTTGGCTCGCGCGTAAAGCAGAGCAGTCATAGCGCCATTGTTTTCTAAATTATCCGCGTTTCCTCCGCTTTTATGACGCCGCAATAAAGGCGCTGTTGTGCCCCCAAACCGCCGATTGGAGACGTGATCGGAGCGCGCCTCAAATCTACTTCAGCCTCATATTTCATCAATCAACTTTGGGCAACATGGAGAGCGTTGGAAAGAGCATTACGCACATTTACGCACGGCACATACACACACAGATAGAGACACAGACACACACAGAAAGACATACACACACATAGAAACACACACACACACACACACAGACACACACACACACACACACACACTCTGGCTCTGTGACTTTTGCTATTTATAACAATTTATTTACAGCTACTTTCCATGAAGCAACAATTTTATACAAACTTACATTTACATATTTTAAGAAAGAAGAAATGTATAAATAATTAAACATGGTACAGAATTATTACAATTACTGTTTGATTGATTTATTTGTTTTTAATTCGAGTTTGTGCCAAGAGAGAAACAATAATCATATATACGACATACACGTTTTCAAAAAGGAGTGGAAAAAAGAAAAACTTATACGAACCTAAATCTGTTCATGACATAGTTTCAAAAATGATGAGGTTGCTTCTGTGCATTGATCACTGAACTTAACAAATATTTACAGTTACTGTGTGTGTAAAATCCCTCAATTGTCCAGGTAGAACCACGGAAAAAAGACAAATTAAATGTCAAATAAATAAACTTTTGTCCAGCTCTCAAATTGAATCAGCAATTAGTAACTTAACTAAGAAACCGTATTTTAATTCCTTAAAATAATCCATTATGTTGAGTATTTATTTGGCAACGGTGACTATTTATGCGTTTCTGCGACATTTTCGAGGCTATTTCTCATTCAAAATGTATAAGGTGTTGTTTTAAATAGTTAATCGCCATGGCAACGGCTAGGATTTCCTCATCGTTCTGAAACGCGTGGATATTTTAATGCGCGTTCGCCCTCGTTGCTGACAGTGTTTATGGCACATACACACCCTGACGAGAGTAGCAACTGTGTGTGTGTGTGTTTCTATGAGTGTGTGTGTGTGTGTGTTTCTGTGAGTGTGTGTTTCTGTAAGTGTGTGAGTGTGTTTCTGTGAGTGTGTGTGTGTGTGCGTTTATGACATTGTGGTGATTGAAATCTGCAGTCACGTGTACATCGTCGGGGCCAAATCGTGTCCTTGTGGGATTCCGCTTTTAAATGTTAAGTCATGTTTGTTGATTTAGGTTCGGTTTTTAGGTGAAAGTGTGAATTACGCTTAAAGTTCGGATCAGTGTGTTCGATATAACATTAGCTTGTGTGTGTGTGTGTGTGTGTGTGTGTGTGGTGTGTGTACGTGTGTGTTGTCTCCCACACAGGCGAGTCCAAAGGTGACAGCGCGGGGAACTGGCTGACTGCGAAGAGCGGCCGGAAGAAGCGCTGCCCCTACACCAAGCACCAGACCCTCGAGCTGGAGAAGGAATTCCTCTTCAACATGTACCTGACCCGAGAGCGCCGCCTAGAGATCAGCAAGAGCGTGCACCTGACGGACAGACAGGTCAAGATCTGGTTCCAAAACCGCCGCATGAAACTCAAGAAAATGACCCGAGAAAACCGCATCCGAGAGCTCACGTCCAACTACGGGTTTTCATAGACGTGTGATTTATAGGCGCGCGCACTGACTCATGCGTCTGAGCAGCAGCAGCAGAAGAAGAAGAAGAAGAAGAAGCAACAGCAGCAGCAGCAACAGCCCCCATCTTCCCCCCAAAAACACAACATGGCGCTGCGGAGACGCCGTGGAGAGCTCTTGTCTGGTTGTTTTCTAAAAGCTCCTATAATAAAATGTATAGGAGCGCGGGTGGTATACAATTTGTACTCTATATTGTCCCTTTTTGGAGAGATAATTATACTTTAAAATACCTATATCAATGGCTCTTAGATCTTATTCCCAATTACGCACAAATTTTAATTGGAATTGCATGATGTAAACCAAATTTCCTTTCAATCCAGCCCAAAAAACACTTGCGTTTTCATGTTATTGCCTATATTTCTAAACGTGGCAACAGGAGGAGATGTTTTTATGAATGTATATTTCTGTGTACATACAGCATTGTGTTTTGTGTAATGCCTAATAAATTATCAGCTCACATCACGACGCTTGGAAACAGTTTGTACAGAATCTTGTGTGGTGTCTGCGGCCGCTGGACCCACGCGCCTGTGCCCTGGTGTGAAGAGAAGGGCAATCGGAAATAATTAAGATATTAAGGCTTTTAAGGTGTAGCCTCTGCGTACCCGGAGCAGCATGGCCAGCCGGCTATTGTAGAGTTTTATGACTAGCTCGTATATGAGCCTTCTCCCTCTCCTGTGAGCTGCTTCAGTCGTGGGAGAGCCGTGCAGACGGAGAGCAGGCCTGCCTTAGCACCGAGCCTCCCCGCGCGCCGAGCTGGATATAACACATGTGCTCTAGAGTTTGGAGAACATAGGATTAAGAAACAACAAAGAAAAGGTAAGTTACACGTGACCACTGTGTTCCCACTTGTGTGTACGCACGTGTGTGTATTGTGTCACTACTCTGTGTGTATCTATGTGTGTACCTCGCTGTGATCATGTGCCAAAATGTTGTCCAGATAAGGTGCAATCATGTATTTGTTGGGGATTGTGGTGTGACCCGGATTTGACTGCCGTGTGGTTTAGGTAGTTTCATGTTGTTGGGGTCCTTTCTTTATCTCTGCAACATGAAGCTGTCTTAATTGCTCCAGTTACGCACAGCGAATGGAAAAAACGTGGATTTTTTAGAACGATACGAGATGAGATGAGATGATGTGGTCACAGGACAGAAGCACAGGTCCGCCGCTGCGCACACGGCCAGAGCACGTGCTTCTCCACTTAAACATAAATTTACTTACATTTCCGTCTAAATTTGTAACATGTGCTCGCCATGTGCCAAGCGTGGAGGGCGATCAAAGCGACGTGGGCATTAAAGGCGATTTCGAATGACATTTTCCGTGAGCCGTACAGTGACGCAGACGCGCCAGACAAGGCCTCGGTTACGACCACTGCAGCAGAGGGGAAGGGGAAGGTGAATGGGCCAACAGCGACCTCCGCGGGCAGTGAGACCGGATGCTTCCGCTGCGTGCTATAGTGCCTCAGACAAAAGGAGGGGAAGGGCTTTATGGCGATATTGAGACCCGCCAGACAGGCTGTTATCTGCCCAGGCAAAAGAAGTCAATAGCCCCCGCGGTAAACAGCTAAAACAGCGCCTGATTTAGGTTTACAGCCCTGAGAAGCTAAAGGCACAGTGCGTCCTTTTTCTCCAAGGTGTTTGTGGCGTCTGCGCGCACTTTCAGACGCAGAGATGTTTGATGTGTTCCAGCTAAAAGCGCAGATCTCAGCAGCGGAGTCCAGTTTATAGTAAATAGAGGTGTAGTCACAGTATCTGCACGTACCCAAGAGCAGAGCAGGAGATTCTGAGCGTCTCATAGTCCGCTGTGGCCTTGTGGGTGTTGGCCAAACCCTGGTTTTATTCCCCTGTAATAAATAAAGGACGCGGCGGAATGAGACGTGAGAATTCAAGGTGCTGCTTTGCCCCGAGGTTTAGAGGAAATGAGAGCCCATAAACAGAGCTGGACTAATCGATACAGGCTCGACTTTAGGTTTGGTCAAAGCTTACACTCTGCTGCACTCTGGGACAAAGTTTTATTTTGAAGAGTTGAGTCTAAAATCCGCAGTCAAATTTCACTTTCAAATTCAACCTTCGCTCAAAAATAATCATGTGTTTTTATATTTATACCATATGTTTTATATTTATATTGAATTTATTTTTATTTTTACGCACACACATCTTCACAGCACGAGGTTTTGTTCAGTAGAAACATCAAAAGTGAGCTCTCCACTATTTCAAAATACACACAAATTCATTCCAGTGTCCAGTTTCTCTGTTAATTCATTTTATTTTCCAACTTTTTATATTTTAAGACAAATAAAAACACTAAAAACACCTTGAAAAACTAATTTAGTACGTCTAATTTTCACATTTATTAAATTGTAAACACACTCTGGTTGTATTTGATATTTGGATATTTATATTTGACTCACACACTCCTTTTACTGTGAACTGGAAACACACAAACACAAAAATAACAGAAATAAAATGCGCCACAAACATATTTTACGCACGTATTTTTGTGAAGGGCTTCTGTCCACTTCCTTATTGGATGTGTATTTTAAAGCCGAGCCCAATAAAGATAATTGACACAACCCAAGTATCCGCAGACTCCAGACCCGTGTAATCATCCGCGCATTTGCCTAAATCTTTTTTTACTACTAATCTTAAGCGCTGTTATTCAAACCAAGTCTCTGAGGAAGGTGTTCACTGGTCGCAATGTTTCGTTTAAAATGCCCAAACCACAAGCAGCTCTGGGTCACTTGTTTGGCTGTTTACGCGTAAGCTTACACCGCGTGTGCGTAATGCGCGCGCGTACGGCGGGCTTCACAGCTCCACTGATAATGGCGCTGCAGATTAAGACTTTTAGGTGTAAACAAGTGGGAACGCACTCATACGTGATTAACACATTATGACATGCTGCGCAGCGGCACGAGGGACATTTCGTCAATAAACGTAATACTTGTGTATTTGTTGGCACGGTTTACATTACGCGTTTGATATACGCGATAATTGAAGGATATACGACTGCATCCACTTTTATTAAACGTGCATTTACGCGCGTTTATCAACACCCAGCACCTTCCAGAGGTTTGCATTGTTTTCTCCTTTCAAGGATCCTTTTTATTTTTTATGTTTGTTTGAAAGAAGCGTAATGTTATAGTATTACTGTAATATATTATAATATTATGTCAGAGTATTACTATATTATATTACAATATTATATCATCGTATTACTATGATATTAGTATTATTGTTACTATAATATCAGAGTAATATTGTTTCTTGTCACAGAGTGTTGTGTTTTTTAGGTTTAACTATACAGTAACTATACACTTTTGTTTTCCCCAATGAAAACATCAGGTCAGATACAAACTGTTTTCTATTAAATTACTGACAATCATTAAAATGATTTTATTTCATAATTACAGATGACATTAGTTAATTCTATCCAAACAGAGGTTGTCTTTGATTAGATATCTGGAATATTTTGCTAAAAGGCTTTTGTGAAACATCCTTTGGCCTGTGCGTAAAGCTCAGGCTGAGCTGACGTGGAGCGTAATTCACTCTTGATATAAAATTCCTTGTGCTGTAATCAGACACAGGCTGCTCCCTCTCACTGCTCACGGAACGTTTTGCTGCGTAATCTTCAGTCTTGTTGAACAGGAGATGTAAAGGACAAACTTTAAATTTGTGAATGTTTGTAAAATATAAAATGAAGAGAATTTGTCTTTTGGACGTATAGTTCGTGTTTCTGTTGCACGCGCTACATGCTCTGACTTTCTAACCTTTCCTCGAGCACTGCCTCCCGTGCGCGCGGCAATAGTAGGGTGCTTACGTGTCCTATAAAATAGCTCGTAAAATGGGCTTTCCCCCAAAACATACTGTATCGTTTGTTGTAACCAATCCGAGTTTCTAGCGACGGACCGTGGCTCAGATTCTCCGGAATATTCTTCTTTCACATTGGTCATCTCAAATACACACGGGATGATTATTGTGCGCTTTAAAGTGGAGCTTGTTATAGGATAAGGCTGAGTATTTAATGACCAAGAGGGATTGATTTATCCTTTATTGTTCAGCCTTTATGATCACGTGTGCGCGCTGCCCAATGGCACGGCAGTATGGCTCCCCATTACTGCCCCGCTGTAGTTGTGTGAGGGGCCAAGTTGCTACTTGATTTCTCCACATTGTTATTTTGTGAGGCTGGCTTTACTGCTGTATGTGTGTGTCGTGTGTGTGCGCGCTCGCTATTTGTTTGCGTGGATCTGTCCCTCCGAGCGCCTGGTCCATGTGAAGGCGCTTTTTCTGCGATATGTCGACATCCGGAACTCTGACCAGTTACTACGTGGATTCTCTCATTCTACCGGAGAGCGAGAATGAACTCTCTACGCCGAGATACAGCTCTGCTCCCGGGCTGCACCATTCCAGACCAGCCCCCTCCTCCACAGGGTCCATCCATGAGCACAGTGACTTCAGCTCCAAAAGCGCGTTGTTCGGGACTCCGTGGAGCCATGTTCCGACGCAGTTCCCCGGCTCCGTCTCGTCCATGTACCCGCACCACCACCCGCACTACGGACATCCTCAGGGGCCGGTGGCCGCGGACACTGACCCCCGCTACCAGTCATGGCTTCTGGAGCCCATGTCTGCGTCTTTGCCCATCACAAGCCTACCTCCCACTCATCATTACGGCCACGTAAAGCCGGAGGCAGTGCGCGGAGCCGCGGATAGCGGGGCGGTAATAAGCGGCTCTCACACCGCGCTGCTCTTGTCTGACTACGCCAACGGCACCGTGGCCACGGCGTCTCCTGCGGACGAGAAGGACGCGCTGGGCGGACACGCGGGGCACGAGCAGAGCGGGGACGGAGAGGACAAACCAGGCCTCGACCCAAGTAAGTCCCTCACAGGATAAATATAAAATATTCTCACGCCACATGAACATGGGCGCGCGCTGACGCCATTGGGAACATGCCTTTGCCTTTTGGGGGCTGCCCATGGCCCTGCTCCTGCTCAGCCTGCACAGAGCACAGGGTCACGACAAAACACTGTTTTAAAGTGAGTTTAGAATCTCTTATTTACACAATCAAACACAGATCAGGCTGTTTATTACAAACACACAAACACTCATGTTCTCTCATGTTCTCTAGTGCTCGTGACTGTGGCCTGTGTGAACTGGACCTTTATCAACAAATCATATTTGGCAAAAAAATTAATAATAATAATAATGATACAAATAAAATACATTTTAATTGTAATTATGTAATTACATTTAAATATAAAATGAATAATTTTACTGAATTGTATTATTTTGTTTTTGTCGTTGGTTGAGACGCCATTTCTGTGCACACACACTTATTAAAGCAACTGTTCACACGTGCTCGTGTAAATCCCTCCCTACATACCTCTGAAATTGTCCATGTCGCTGTATCAGGTCATTTGGGCTTCAGTCTTTCCCCTGTGTAATTTTCTAACGGTTTTGATGAAAGAACGCGAGACAATTATTGAACTAATCAAATATCTCAGTCTCTTTCTACAGTTTTAATTTATAAAAAAACATGAATATATTTCTTCAGTTGTCTGAAGACATTAAAAACAGATTTGTAACAGTGAAATGCGCCTGTGTGCTGATGTCATTTGCTCATGAGCACAAAAACAGTGTGCCTTTATAATATGCCTGTGTTTATATTAACAGCAGTGATGATGTTGAACCATTTTCACTCTTGTAACTGGGACAGAATCACAGATGAATCTGAATCCCTCTGTGCTTTTATTTGTTTATTGCTCTTTTATATTTGTCCGTGTTTCATCAGATAATCCGGTGTCCAACTGGCTCCACGCGAGCGCCACGCGGAAAAAGCGCTGCCCCTACACCAAGCACCAGATCCTGGAGCTGGAGAAGGAGTTCCTCTTCAACACGTACCTGACCCGGGACCGGCGCTACGAGGTGGCGCGGCTGCTCAACCTCACGGAGAGACAGGTCAAGATCTGGTTCCAAAACCGCCGCATGAAAATGAAGAAGTTTAACAAAGACGGTCCGCCCAAGGACGAATAACAGAGCGCGGAGGCGCAGCGGCGGAGGCGCAGCGGCCGCGGGGCTGTGGGAGCCTGTCTCCGCTGGACTGGTTTTTACTCATTGTCTTATTGTCCTCCATAGAAGCTATTAGGCTTAATTGTCTTGTTAAAAGCATGTTGGCCTTCAATTTAACGCGAGTACATTTATATATTGCACAATTTGAGCGTGCTCCCCCTTCGTGTGCCCTTAGTTGAATGAATCCTTGTTGTAAGTGCATTAGTTGGCCTGGGTCCCGTGCTGTGAATGGACATTTTTAGCTGTGTGCGCGTATGGTTTGTTTTCGTTGTTGTCAGTTTCAGAGTCACTTTAGCTTAGATTGTAAAATGTACCCATTCCCCTTATTCTTAGCCTATTAATGATAGAACTATGACTGCTGACCAGAGCTGGAACTAACATGGACATTTGCATTCTAGGAGCACCACACTGAACCCTCTTCAAACGCCCCAAACTAAGAGTTCTCTGAAGATTGACTACCTACACATTTCAACTACCTACTCTCCCGTTTGTGGCGTAGTGCGCGTGTCTGAGTTTCAGGGAGAGATTCTGTTTTAGTGAAGGGAAATGGAACACTGTAGGCTACTTAAGGAATACCTCACGGTCTGCTGACCGGTCCACTTTGGTTCACAATGTAATTTGTACTTATTTATTAAATAAAGCAAATTATATCTGCGAATGCACCCACGTAATGTGATTCTTCTAGATCTGCGTTTGTCCAGTGCGTTTGTCCAGTGCGGCCGTGACGTCCTCGCGTTTAGAACGTGCCCCACAGTGAAACAGTTATAAAACATGTTTTTAAAGGCACTACATATGTTTGGTCATGAGCAGCGCGTCGAGAGCAGAGAGTGAACATTCTACAGTGATTCAAAACTGTTCAGTCCAGATGAATGTTGGGAAATCTCTCTGTGGTCGGTAATGGCCACAAACACAAATGTTAAGTATTGTTCCATGTTTCTAACTCAAAACTGTGCCACACACGAACAACAACAGTGTAACAAGAGTGGATTGAGTTAGAGGTTTGGTTAAACGTAGTGCTCGTTTTGTTCGTATAATAAGTCACGTCAAGAGCATTAATAGAATTTAAAGTAAATAAAGCTTAGGGTCGCTTCGTGTGAGTGGACACAGGTTTTCCAACAGCGCACAGTCCCAAATGCACAAATGCGCGGATGGACACCGTGTGTGTTTGTGATTGGCTTCTTGGCAGAGGATGTTGTTAGCTGTATACAGCCATAAAAGACAATTACCGCCATAACCTTTTATGGGGTGCAAAGCGCTGCGAGGCGAGAGGACACAAAACAAAAAAAGACGTGCGGCCCTTCGACAGCTGAAGCCTAAAATAATACACAGCTAAGAGTGTGTGGATCCATGCAGATACACACACATACACACACATACACACACACACACACTGGACCCAGAGGAAGTGAGATTTTGACATTGATACTGCTGCGTAATTATCAGATATTAGAGTTTTGAAGTCGCGCTCTGTGACACGTGTAGAATGTGGACATTTATCAAACTTGATGCATAAGTCTGTTGGTCTGGAAATGTGTTTAAATTATAACCTTCAAGGATCAGGTCTGTGCATGTCCTCGCGCCTGCAGAGGACACAGCAGAATCCAACATCCGTGCGTAAAAGTGAACGGCGCGCACACACACACACACACACACACACACACCCGCGCGTAAAAACGAACCAAACCCACTGCACCTTTGGAAGCCCTAATGCTCCAGACACAAACGACCATTAGGAGCCGCGCGGTGCAGATAAGCCTGGTTAAAGCCCAACCGGAGCTGGTGCTGTTGTGACGCGCGGAGGGACACAGATGGACCAAACTTCAAAGACTCGAGCAAAGACAGTGCCATAAAACGCCTGGTCTGCTCCACTGTCTGGCATTCCTGTTCGAATGGCTTTATGGCCGTCCAGACACAATTAGGCCGTTTCCAGAATGGCACCATTTGTTTTTCTCGGCTCATTCTGTGCGCGCGCGGGACAAAAGGCCGAGCGGAAATCATCTCTTTTATTGGACTCTTCCCGACGGGGACGCGCACGCGGGCTCACGGTCATTTGGAGGAGGCTTTTGTTTTTTACCTGGGAACCGTCCGCCCTCTGCTCCTCTGCTCCTCTCTGCTCCTCTGAGGCCATAAAGAGACAGAGACTGGCTCCAGGACACCGAGCTCAGGGAATAATAATAATAATAATAATAATAATAATAATAATAATAATAATAATAATAATAATAATAAAAACAAAAGTATAAACAATAAAACATATAAATAAATAATGTAATTTAAATGTCAATAAATTCGCTTATATTATATTTTTAATAATGTATCCGTATCTCTTTTTAGTTTCATGTTTCCAGAGTCATTATTATAAATCCTCTGGGTAAAAAAAAAGTCTCATTTGCTGAACTGGTTTGTTAGTTGAGCTGTCAAGAATAACACAATAACACAATAACACTCCTTCAGGCTCCTCAGATGTTTCAGGAGCATTTTACAAAAAGCAGATCAAATGTACAAAGTGCGTAAATGTACAAACTTGGACTAAACGGTGAAGGAAAAGTGTCCAAACGTGTCCACTTTCTCCCCCTCGTGTGCACAGCTCTGGGGATTCACTAGAAGCGCGTTTAACCTTCCTGCTTTTCAAAATCACTTCGTTTTATTGGCGTCATCAGTGAACAAGATTCACAAACTGCGTCACGGTGCGACATTAAAGCTCCATTTATTACGCAAAATAGACTCTGGTGAGCTTTTAGTCACGTTTTAATGCCGTTACCTCCTCAAAACCAGACCTGGAGTTGAGTTTTGTTTCATTCACACGTTTGACTAACTCTTTATGATCACTCTTACGTGTCCAGACGCTCTCAAAACGCTCTGCTCCACCTTGTGATGTCACGAAGCTGTACTTTAAACACCACATTTTTACGTTTTGTTTAGCTGAGATCGGTCAATTCCAGAGCTGAAAACGATCCAAATGATTCTCGTGGAAGTGCGTGGAGTTTAAAAACACACACTGGAGCACTTCATGACATCACAACGTGGAGCAATGTGGAGTATTTTCTGTTTGAGGAGAAAAACTAAGCCTAAATCTGCAGTGTGGATGAAACAAAACACAACTCCAGGTCTGTTTGTGATGAGAAAACAACTTTATAACACAAAAATTGTGTAATATGAGCTCTTTAAACAAACAAAATGTGATAAAATAAAAATAACTGCATGTATTTTTTAGTTGCAAGGTAAATAAAGTTAATAAAAATACAAAATAAACAGACTTCAGCCCACACCAGAGCAAAGTAAATTATAATAAATCTCATAGTGGATTTTTTGGACCGGATTTGAAGGTGATATTTACAAAAAAAAAACCTTCCAAAACTCTACTTGGACGTGGTGTTGTTGCAGTTCCTCTCAGTGTCCAGAGGGTGGCGACAGTGTCCCGGCAGCGCGCGCTCATAAACGCCTTTAAACACAATGGGGCCGTGTGCAGCGGGGGGGGACTCACTCCGGGGTTTACGGGCTCGGGGAAAAATCATTCACACATTTAAACACGTCATAATCTCCGCGCCCCGGGGCTCACGCGGAGGAGGCTGAGCCGGGGCGCGCGCGAGGGGCTCCTGGGGGCCGGTCCCGAGCGCGCGCTGTCCGGCCCCGGCGTGGAGACAGAGAGAGAGACCCCGGGGAGCGCGCGGAGGAGGAACCGGACCACGCGTAATCAGGTAAACACGACTAAATCTTTTTTATTTACACGGATTTTCGCCAGATTGTTCATATTTATGTTGCTTTTATTGGAATTTTAAACGTTCACACATTCGGAAAGGCCTCGGAAAATACCTAAAGAAATATTTAAAAAACGTTACACACTGCAAAAACCAAAATCTATCCAATGTAAAATGACCTGAATTAAGAACATTTTATCACGATTTGAGTAAATTTCACTTCAAAGTAAAATGATCTACGGGTGGAACAAGACTTTTTGTACTTAAAATATGAAAATACAACGTTTTGTGTTTAAAATGAGAAAAACAACAATTTTTTTGCTCTTAAATTAAGAAAAGCAACAACTTTTTGTTTTTAAAATGAGAAAAACAACAACCTTTTGTGCATAAAATGAGAAAAACAACAAATTTTTGTGTGTAAAATGAGGAAAAACAACAACTTTTTGCATTTAAAAGGATATAAACAACTTTTTTTGCTCGTAAATTAAGAAAAGCAACAACTTTTTGTGTTTAAAATGAGAAAAACAACAACTTTTGCATTTAAAATGAGAAAAACAACACATTTTTGTGCGTAAAAAATGAGGAAAAACAACAACTTCTTGCATTTAAAAGGAGACAAACAACATTTTTTGCTCGTAAATTAAGAAAAGCAACAACTTTTTGTGTTTAAAATGAGAAAAACAACTAATTTTTGTGCATAAAATGAGGAAAAACAACAACTTCTTGCATTTTAAAGGAGACAAACAACATTTTTTTTGCTTGTAAATTAAGAAAAGCAACAACTTTTTGTGCATAAAATGAGAAAAACAACAACTTCTTGTGCTTAAAATAAGAAACAATCGAGCTGAATCGACTCAAATAAAGCAGTTAATTTACAACATTTTAACTTAACTAGATATTGTTTTTTCAGTGTAGGCTCATTTATTCATTTCTCATTTTTGCTCTAATGAAAATAAGAATCTATTTCCAGGATCTGTGCGTAGAAAATCGATTCGTGTTGTATAAATCCGCATCGTGTTTGCCTGCAGTGTAAACGAAACCTTTCAACCGTATTAAACTCAATCTTTGCCATAACAATAACATTTTTAAACCTCTATAAAGTGAATCGTTACGCCGTTAAAAGCCACAACACGACAAGATAAAACAGAACACACCCACAGAAAATACACACAAGTACTTTTGATATTTTATTTGGACGCAGAGAGAAAGATTAGGTACGATTTGTTGGTTTTCATAACATTTTTATAACATTTAAGAAGCAAATTAGGTTAAGCAGAGGTTGGTACTCAGTTACATTTCCAAAATAAATAGTACTTTCCAGAATACTAATACTTTTAAAGAAGTAGTAGTACTCTTACTCGAGTCAAAGTTGTGCTTCTTCTTCCTGCTGTGATTGAGTCTAAAGCGACAAAATCTGCTTTATGTGACAATCTGAAATGATTCTTAAATTTGTGTTTCTCTCAGCTCCTTCAGATCTGATGTATTTGTCTCAATTTTGTGTCTATCGTTAAAAAAACACCAAATTCTGTGATTTATTTCATGTTTTGGCCTTCAAATTACATTCAAATTACATTCAAATTACATTCAATTGTCAATCAAATGTTACGTACAAACAATTTTAGTTGAGTAGTAGTTTAACCGAATACTTTTTAACTTTTACGCCGAAAAAAACAATATCGAGTTAAATTAAAATGACTGAAATTAAGAATATTTGACGTTATTTGAGTTGATTCAGCTTGAAAAGTCAAATTATTTACTGATGGATGGATTTTTATTTTTTTTTTTTAATTCAGGCAATATTTGATTTTATTTCTTAATTATTTTATTTATTTATTTATTTTTTATTTTATGTGTAGAAGGATGTATTTTCTCATTTTAAATTGTTCCACTTGCAGATTATTTTACTTGTCAAGTGAAATTTACTCAAATCGTGCCAAAAAACTCATCTTCACTCGATTACATTTTGTTTTTTGCAGTGTACTCGAGTCATTTCTTGGCGCACTACTTTCTCCTTCTACTCGAGTACTCTAAATACTTCACATTTGCATATTAAACCCCCGAAACATTCGTGACTCGCAGCTATATTTTAAAGCAGACGTGTGATTTAGTCGTGGATGTTGTGATTAGGGTTACGGGTTTTGGCTTTGCCCTGAAACAAACCCGCAGATTGTTGACTGTTTTATGGCGCACAGTTAAAGTGAATGGAGGCGCCTTTTGTGCTTCTCTCGTTTTTATCACGCGCAAATATTCCACTAATGCACCGCGTAAATAAATCTGTAAACGTTATCGATCTGAAAGTAGTTATATAAACAATTATTAAGAACGTGGATTTGCGGCGTTTTTCTGATTGACACTGTGGACTGACATGTGTGTGTGTGTGTGCGTGTGTGTGTGTGAATGTGTGTGTGTGTGTGTGTGTGCGTGCGCGCGCGCAGTTGGGAACGTGAGAATTTTTCCAAGCGCCATAAAGGAAATCCCTTCGCGCGCTCCGATTGGTCCGAAGTGTGCAGGCCCGGGTCACGTGACTGCGTTCTTTTGGCCGCGGAGTAAAATGGCTCCGGCGTAAATCTCGGCTGTATTGCGGTCGTATATCACCGCACCTCGTAAAAACGACACTGAGGATTCTGGCCCAACAAATCAGCCGCTCCGAGCTTAATATGACTTCTTCCATCGCGGGTTCGTGGGTTCGGCCGGAGCTGTTCCCACACGGGGCTGCGCGCGCTCCTCACGGCCGCAGCTCCGTCACCCACGCCGCCGCCGCCGCCGCTCTCGCCTGTGCAGGATGGTACGCGGGGCGGGATGGAGCGTCCCGGGGCCCCGGGGTCGGTCCGGGTCCAGGCGGTACCGGTCAGAGACTTGAGGGTGACCAGCAGAACTTTTACGCACAGGCGTCGCAGCAGCAGAACCGGATGTACCCGTGGATGGCACTGACAGGTACGTAATCATGACGCACGCGTAAAAAGCTTTAGAGGGGAAATGTAGGTCACCAGACTTTAGGACTTTACTTTAAATGTTTTGTTGTGAACATTTTTAATTATAACATGTCAGACGTTTGGACTTCATAAAATCTTTACATCTTTTATAATTTATTGTATAGAAATTTACGGCTGGCTGCTGAGTTTGTCAACACAGAAAATAAAAAAAATAGATTTCTTTTTTACTGTGAGGACACTGAACTGATTTAAAACCAAATATGATATATATATATATATATTTTTATTTCAATCAGAAAAGGCAAAATTGGACATCGATTGGACATTGAACATCTCACACACACAAACTCACACAGGCCTAAAAATCCAGACAGTAAAATATGTCCCAGGATTAACAACAATGTGACTGTGTGAAGTCCTGTGTGTGTTTTCTGTTTCATTTAACTGAATGAAAACATTTATTAATGGGACAATATTTACCAACGAGTTAAATTAAATAATTAATAATAAAAAAATACATTTATACATATAAACCATAGACATAAATAAATCAGTCACAGACTTAGAGACAAAAGGAGAAAAGGCTCTCGGCCTGATCAGATAACAGAGGCTCTGAGGATCTGAGGATCTGTAGCTCTGAGTCTGAGTCTGTGGTCTGTGGCTCTGTGAGTCTTTGTGGCTCTGTGAGTCTTTGTGGCTCTGTGGCTCTGTGGCTCTGTGAGTCTTTGTGGCTCTGTGGATCTCTGAATCTGTGATGCAAAAGGGTTCCTGTCACACTTGAGTCGTGGGACATTAATGCACGTTCAACACGCACATTACAACACTTGAGAGATAAAACCTTCTTTCCAAACGCCTAAATATTACCTACCGTAGTTTTAATTTCCATTGGTGCAATGAAATCGTAAAAGTTTTATTGTGCAACTAATGAGAGCTGCGCCATAAATTCATTGGGCTTCTGTGTGGACTTTGCCGCTGGGGGTTTGCGCTCTGCTGTTCTCGCGCAGCCTCTTCTCCCCTCCGCGCGGCCGTAAAACAGAGCGCGCTCTGTGCGTAAATCACCCTCCAGCTCCTCTTCTCCTCTTTCTAATTGGGTCCGCAGTGCAGAGGGGGATGAGAGCCGGTTTGGTGCAAAAACCCGTCAGTGCGCATAGCTCAGATCAATATGGAGGGGTAATATTTGTCGGCGACATAAAGCAGTCAGGTGGATTTAGAATGCCAGTGATTTGGAAGCAGAGGGTTTGTGAGGGGAGCGCAGTCTCTAATTGGAAAAGCCTGTCTGGTGTCACACAGGAATGAGACTAAGCCTGAAGAGAAAAACACTTCAAATAGAAGCGCATGTCCTGAAGGTCACGGCGGTGCGTAAAAGGCAACCCAAGACCTGCGCGAGCGGACGGTTTGACTGTGAAGGAAGATTTACTGACAGCTGTAAAGTAACAAATATATTTTAGAAAATGTCTCCCTTTTTATGATGTGGAGAGTATCCATTTGAACAAATCAAAACGCTCAAAGTGACAAAAGCAGTGGTTAACCGCACAGTATAAAAGGAAATTCCAAACTACACGATCTTCTGCTGATGCGATGCAGACTCCGACACAGATGGTCTTATCTTCCCTAAAATGGCTCCCACCACATTTTTATTGGTTGCCATGGGGACGAAACATGTTCACGTGACCAAAGAAAAGGCATCTCAGTTTAATGTTTTATTTAAAAATTTTATTACAAACAGCAGGACGCGGAGAGAACAGGTTTTTGGAAGCAAATGAAATAATTGAATCTACTTAATTAAGCTGTTATTACCCAACATAAACAATCATCTCAGGCCTTTTGTTTTATATAAATATAGCTGTATTTTATCATAATATTTCAGTGGCTCAAACACATATTTGGCGTTTCCAGAAGTGAGTGTGCGTGTTTTTATTACACTGGAGCGTAATTACTCCAAACATAAATTACTTTTATTTTACAAAACTCCGTGTAAATATGTCCCCGTTGTTAATCTGTCATCCGCTTTATGACTTCATTGTGATGAATTTACAACGCATCAGTGCATCTTTATTATTATTATTATTATTCTTTCTTATTTTTTCTGGCCCAGATCCAAACAGGAGACGCGGAAGGCAGCCTTACTCCAAACACCAAACCCTGGAGCTGGAGAAGGAGTTCCACTTCAGCCGCTACCTGACGCGCAGGAGGCGGCTGGAGGTCTCCCGCGCGCTGGGCCTCACCGAGACCCAGGTCAAGATCTGGTTCCAGAACCGCAGGATGAAGTGGAAGAAAGAGCACCCCCGAGAACTCTCCTCCTCCTCCTCCTCCTTCTCCTCCTCTTCTTCTTCCTCCTGTAGCCCAGAATGTAGTCCCGCGGAGTCACACGAGGAGACGAAGGCGCACGGGGGTCCTGCGGCGGAGGAGTCAGCTGATGCGAGGATACAAGGAGCTAGGAGACGAGGACAAAGGGAGCAGGCAGAGAGGGGATACAGTGTGTTAGTTAAAACGCGTTAGGAATGGCGCGTTATTGCACTCGAACTGCTTGTGCGTAATTGGAATGGTAAAAGTATCGATCCATTTGAATGAATAGCTCCGATTGAAGGACCAATAACCATTAGCGCTTCCATTCACACCCACGCGCCTTCGTGAGTGCCAGCGCCGCGGAATCCACTTTACATCACACTGCCTAACGCGTTTACATACGGGCCGACACGTAACATACACGAACGTGACGTAAAGACTCAGACAAACTCCACAATTGACGTGCCTTTGTTTTTACGCACGAGTGGAGACGTTTTTAAAACCTCGTGCCTTACACTGTTCTAATGTGACACTGATACAGATAATTATTACTGTTTTAAGATGGAATATTTATTTTATTTTTTTTTAACAATGTGCTTTTTTTTTAAGCCTGTGTTAAAAATAAAAATAATAAATGCGTAAAACCGTATTTCTGTGCGTTGAATAAATGTCTGTTTTTGGCACCTTGGCTCCACACTGGAACACTTTTAGACACTTTTAGACACTCTTTTATGTTATTCAAACATGTTACATAAATAAAGTGCATTTGGACACCTCAATATAAATCCTGGTTCTAATTAAAGCCATAGTGTGTAGCTTTTCTGGTCAAAAGTAACACCAAAGTAAAAGCGTTTTTGTTTTTTTATTGCACTCACGTTCCATAAATCAGTTTCAACAGTTCAATCATTTCAATCTGGATGAAAAGTACTATTAATAAAATGAAGCTAAGCAACTTTACTACACATTAAAATTTCATTTATTCCTATAATTTGCATATTTAAGAACATATATTCCTATATTTAAGGACCAAAATCATCACAGCAATTGTAAGAATAATGCATTTGTGTTTCTAATACTGCTTGGTTTTGAAGTTAAGCTGTTATTTTGACTGTGTGGAAACATTTTAGATATTATAATACACAGAAATAAAGCAGGTCATGTTAGTCTATTTGTGAATTATAGAGCAGATACTGGATAAAAATATTTAAAAAACCCAATATCTTGGTAAGATAAAATGAGTTAAATTAAGAATATTTTACTTTATTTGAACAGATTCAACTTGACAAATAAAATTATCTACCAATAGAATGTGTGTTTGTCTTAATTCAAGCAACATTCGATTTTGTTTCTCATTTTAAGTGCAGAAAGTTGTTGTTTTTCTGAAGTGTAGCAAGACGTATTTTCATATTTTAAGTACAAAAACGTTTACATGTCAAGTGAAATTTCCTCAAATCATGATCAAAGTCTTAAATCTTAATTCAAATCATCTTAACTTGACTAGATTTTGTTTTTTACAGCTACTTTTAGCCGTATTAGAAAGAAATACATTTCCTTGGCATTACGCAGCTGACTTTTCACCTCCACAAAGTTACGCACTGTTACTTTAATTACAGTTTTAATACTGAATAAAACATTTGCATTGATAACACACCGTTTTGTCATAAACACTTGGCACAGTTTAGTTCAGTTTAGTTTAGTGACAGTGTCTATAAAGTCACATCCACACAACTGTAACGAATTTGTGTTTGTATTTGTAATTTTATTTGTTTATTTATTTCATTCATAAATTATAAAAACAATGAATGAAAAATGGATGAAAAGAGGACAAAGTAGAGTCATCTTCTGTGATCTGTGCACGCTTATCTGCTCGAATTTATTTATTAAAGCTACAAAAAAAAAAAACAAAAAAAGCAAAAACAAGACAAACATGTTCTTGTAAATTTGCAGGATCGTGGCCGAAGCTGAGAGGTATTTTTGACTAATTAACAGCACTGTAGCCCCTCGAAATGTTTATATTTATGAAAAACAGAGCGGTGAACGAACGAGAGACAAATTATTGCGCGTATACATTCTTTTACAGTCACATTCAGGTTGGGTGTGACGCGCAAAATCTTCTGCAGAGCCTGATCTTACAGGGGCGTTGTCAGATAGATCAAACGTTTTGGATGTAGGTCAAGAATCCGTTCCAATTAAAGTAAAAAAAAAAAAAAAAAAAAAAAGGTGATCAAAGCGCACGGGAGCCACTTGTACCTGCTCTCAAATCGCCCACGTGAAGGAAAAAATAAAAATAAAAAAATCAAATCCAAAAACACTAAACGACGTGAGGAGCTACACTTCAGACTATTACAGCAGTGTCTTTGAGCCGAGGAGGAGGAGGAGGAGAGAAGTGGAAAAGTGGGCCATAGCTCTTCATTAACGCGCTCCGAGCCAGAAACCAAAGACTGAGCGGCGTGTTTTTGGGGAATGTCAGCTATGAGGATGCGAGACGGGGCAGGCAGTGGCGCGGGGAAGTGACTGTTGAACTCTGCGTTGCCTCTGGTCCCTGAGTAAGATGGCGCCTGCTGCTGCTGCTTCTGCTTTTTCTTCTGCTTCTGCTGCTGCTGGTGCTGGTGTTGTGACCCCCCCTCCCCTCCCTCCCCCCTCCCTGCCTCCTCTCTCCCTCCCTCCTCCTCTCTCTTCTTTCCCTCTCTGCCTTCTTCTCTCCTCCTCCTCTTTCCTCTCTCCTCTCCCCTTCCAGCTCTCTGCCCCATAAATCCGCTGTTGTTTATGAAAATTTACAACACCGCTCTCCAACTTTACGACTTTCCCGCGTCTCCCATTGGCTGCGGCGAGAGCACGTGACCTGGCGCCGTGAACATGAACTTTTTATATATAATTTCCAATAGCGGAATAGAGCAGGCGCATTTTAAAAAGGGCTTCGTGTCGCGGGGAGATGTTTTGGGGGGCAGCGACGTTTCAAGGTTCCCTCTTTGGATTTTTATCGTCGGGACGCGTGCGGGATGTGTTGGATTTGGAGTGGATTTTGCGGGCGCAGTTTTCGGGGCATCGCTGGAGGGACCGGTGCGTCAAGTGACCTAAATGCGCCCCCGGAGGTGTTCCCAGGCGGGTTTAGGATGCACCTGCCCTCGCGTACCTCTCCGCTGTCTGCCCTGGCTCCGTTCTAGGACACAAACCACCAGGTAAACCCGCTTGTCTTTTGTGTATTTTAACATCTTTTCCAACACACGTCTCCAAATGTTCCAGACAAAACCTTTGGGCTGTTGGTTTTAACTGTGGCTTCTGTTTTGGTGCTGTTTCGTGGTACAACCTGCTTTACGCATGTCTCGCGTGTTAGTTGGAACACGTTGACACAGCAGAGGCTCGTGTCTGTGGACTGTTTTGGAGGGTTATAGAGTTTGGCACAGATGCGGTTTGGCGCCCTCTTGTGGACAGATCGTGGTTCTGGTTCTGGATGGTGTGCGTCACGACTGCGGCGCTCACTGACCCGTTTTAATCACAAGATCAAGCCAAAAACACTTAAAATTAATCACGTAAAATGAATTTAATGTCATGTCATTGCCCAAGGATGAGAGTGGAAACAATCAGTAAATGTTTTTTTTTTAATCATATTTAATTCAGAATATAACCGCACTGACACTATACATCACTGCACTTATGGTTTTAATTCAACATTTTCAGCCTTGATGAAAATAATTATTAATAAAATGAAACTAAGCAACTTTAATACACACGGAAATTGTGTATTAAAGTAGTAAACTGTAATTTATTCCTATAGTTTGCATGAATTCACATATTTAAGAACAAAAATGATCACAGGAAGTGTTATAATAATGCATTTGTGTTTCTAATCCTGTTGGTTGTGAAGTTATGGTGTTATTTTGTCTGTGTGCAAACATTTTAGATATTATAAAACCAAAATAATGCAGCTCATATCTGTCTATTTGTGAAGTATGGAGCAGTTAAGCAAATCCAAATGTAATAAATATGAATTTGAATACGATCGTAATACTTTAATGTCACTTTTTTTCAATCGTACAGGCAAAAATTCAGATATTTTACCATAAACACGATGAATGGTGCTCATTTGCTTGATTTTATATTCATTGTCAGCTAATATCAGTGTAACAAGACTAATCACTCAGACAATTCTCTTAAATTATCTTAAATTAAAATAAAATAACATTAAAATGAGCACAAAATAAACAGATTATCCAGAGCTACATCACCTTAAATAAACGCACCAGCTGCTTGTTACCTGTTGTTGCTATGGGAGCTCTTTTCTTTTCTTTCTTTCTTTATGGTGTTGGATATATTTTCTGACTATTTAAAGCACGTGGGGAGGTAAAATGTTTTGGTCTATGCTCGTTTAATCCGTGCGTAAAAGTGTTTCTATTTAAATCCACCGCAGCTTTTACGCGCAGACGCCTGTAGAGTGCACTGCCCTCCTTCACATGCTGCCGAGGGCCCCTGTCACTCTGCTGTCTGACTGTTTGGCCCCTGTCAGTTTAGCCCCTGTCTGCTCGGCCCCTGTTTTCTCTCACACTCGCATTTCCTTCCTCTCCGCGGCTCGGGTTCAGCTCTGGGTGTGTCCCCTCCCCTGCTCCGACGGAAAAACATTTCGTGGGAACTTCGTCGCCATTGGTCAGCCATAAATCAGCTGCGCCTCCTCGGCCCCAGACTCCAACCTGGGCGCAGATGTGGCGCGTAGAGGAGCCCCATGGCCGTGCGTAATGCCGGTGGAAAGGGCACGCATACCTGCATCCAAATAATTACAGTCTAAATTGTCTTTGCGCGGAGTCAGGGGCGCAGGACCGGGCTTGTGCCGCTCAAATGGGAGGCATTAGCGGCGGGACTAAAGGACAAGTCAGAGCTTTGAGAAATGCCGGCGCCATAAAAATTCCTGAAGAAGAAAAACAAACGGAGAGCGCAGGACGAGAAGCAGGGCACTGTGGCTCCAAACACAGCCGTCCCCAGTCCTTTTACGCACGCAGCACAAGGCAGGTTTAACAAAGGCACAGTTGAAGGATCGTTACTTACGCACGGAGTATGATTTGAAACGATCCTTTTTTACTCAATGTAAACCCAAGAGCTGCAGAATAATGAAAAATCGAAACACTTACCATGGCAATTAACAGCTTTAAACTAAATATTATAGCTACAGAAGGGTGGAAAGTCCTGAAAATGTCAAAAAATGAAGCTGAAACCAGAGAACAGGCTCATATTGTGGTTCAGTCTTTAAGGTAGTCACAATTTTTTGTTTTAGATTTTATTTTATTGTATTATTAGCCAATTTCTAGTTAAAAACAGGCCTATTTTAAAGTCACGTCACTGCTCATGGATGAAAGTGGCAACAATCAATAAATATTCTTAATAATCAGAATAAGAATCTGAATTTATTTGTCATTTCAGCACAAAAACACACACAAAAACGAAACGCTGCACTCAGGTCCGGGTCAACAGCAACAGCAGCACAAATAATAATCAGAATAAATAGTTTTAAATATTATATGTCAAATACAGTCTTTAAAAACAGCCCCTCATTCTCTAAAGTGCGTTCCAAGTCTGTGCTGTTTAGTAAAGTGCTTTAGAGTCCGGGCGACGACATTTCATTCAGAATATAACCACACTGAGACTATAAATCCAGCACTTTTTGTTTTTAATTCAACAATTTCAGTCTTGATGAAACGTACTGTTAATAAAATCTAAACTAAGCAACGTCTTCAGTCCATGTATTGACACAGAACTGGTTAAGGATTCAATAATTTGACTCTTAAAGGCCTAAATACGCAGGCTACTCTATAGTTTTTCTTAAAAGCCACGTAAAAATGGACCATGGAATAGTTTTCTTTTCTTAAACTGCGCACTGCGACGCCACACAGAAGTTCCCCAGCGCGTCGACTTCAAGACACGACGAAAGGGACAAAGCACAAACCAAACATATCCCACTATTTGGCACAATTATTGTCCAAGTTCGCCGTTTTTAAAATGATAAAGGCCCATGAAAGTTTCCTTAAAGCGCAGAAGCTTCACTCCAAACACTGCACAGCGCGATGTTATTATGATTATTTATTATTATTATTATTACTTGCCTATTTTTGAGGTCGCAGTATTGGCTTTTACGCGTCATTTTAGCCACAGTAAATGAACTCAAAACCAGGGCAATAACCGTGAGAGCTTCTATTGGATATAAATTTGTAAAAGTGTTGTAGTGCCAAAACAGCAGAGGCAGAGAACAAGGACAAAAAGTACGACAATCTGCGCTCAGCTTTTTGTCTTAACTTTACTTTTTATTGTCTAAACTTAAATAAATCGCGCGTTTTGCTCGTTTCTGGCAAAGTCTATTGGCAAAGCTTCACTCAGATGTTATTTATCAGAATCTTTTTGGCAACGTGTGGGTGAAAACTATCTGCAATGTGCTTTTATTCTATCAAGCGCTCTCTCTTCGCCCTCATAACACGCACAAACATATTATTTTGCATTACCGGGGCGCGCTCTTCTCTCTGCATGCCGTATTGTTCCGCACCCGCTTCGCCTTTTTGCCGCATAGCTCGTTAACCTCCCCGTGACCCCGTTTGGGATGAGCGTCGATGCCCCGTTTCCACCAGAGGATGGCGCACTGCGATAACCCAAAACTTTCCCGACGCGCCTTCTGAGTTGGGCTGCGGCGTGAACGCGCGTCCCCGAGTCCTCCACCCCTCCCGTACCCGCGCGCGAGTTTACCTCTGGAGGTCACCGAGCAGGATTTACGACTGGTCAACAAAAGCACGTGACTCTCCGCCGTAGCCCCATATTTGGGTGTCTACGTAGCAGCGAAGAATCAAGTCCATGTCCCACTCATTTCCATAATTCATCATAAATTGTGCTGCTGAGAGGCTGCTATAGGGCGCGCTAAAGCACAAGAGCCACAAATCACTTCCGAAAGCGCGCGTCTTTATGCGGCTTTACCTGAAATAAACGATTAAAGGCGAAAGGAAAGCAAAGGTGGAATTGTCAACAAATGAGCTCCTATTTTGTGAACTCATTTTGCGGACGCTATCCCAACGGCGCGGACTTCCAGTTACATAATTATGGCGAGAGCGGAGAGTACAGGGACACGACGGGGATGCACTCCGCCAGGTACGGCTATGGCTACAACGGGATGGACCTGAGCGTGGCGCGGGGGAACGGCGGCGGGCACTTCAGCGAGCGCACGCACGACTACTCCCCGGGTCCCTCTTCCTCGACCCCGTCCATAGACCCGGGCAGGTACGCGCAGAGCGGCAACCCCACTGCCCCGTCGGCGAACAACACCTCCCCGCTGCCCCTGTCCTCTCCTCCGCCGCCCCCGCAGCAGCAGCAGCAGCAGCAGCAGCCCGAGCCGCTGCCCTGCGCCGCTTCCGTGTCCCAGGCCGGCGACGCGCGGCCGGGGAAGAGCGCGGGCATGGGCAGCCCTCCGCACGGGGCCGGCGCCGCGACGGGGGGGAGTATGATGCTGAGCCGGGACTGTAGCGTGGCCAAAGCGGCGGCAGTGGCGAACTTGGAGGAGGAGAAGCCCACGGGGAGCGCGCCCAACACCCCCCAAAATGTGAGCGACAACGGGCAGCCCCAGATCTACCCGTGGATGCGGAAGCTGCACATAAGTCACGGTAAAGTTGGAGCTTTTGTAGACCACTCACATCCTGCTTTTGTTAACTATTAAATTGGTTTTGTAGGAGCAATGTCATGAGAGCTAATGCATGCTGCTAGAAGGGCAAAAAGTAGGCCTTAAATATTATTATTGTTATGGAAGTGTAAGAGATATTTAGATTCTCTTTTCTTAGTGGTTCTAAAAACTGTTAAACGACGTCCTGTTTAGAAAAATATGCTTTTATAAAATTATTCAAGTTTGGGAAACGCTTTACAGTATTTTGTTTATCAATTAGGTCAAAAAACGAACTTAAAATCGATGAAACTTCTACCAACTCGATAGATTCTGTGAAAATATTTGCCAAAACACAAAAAGGCCCGTGTTCACCTGAGTAACGCAGGTGTGGTGAGTCTGGAAACAAGGTCAAGGCAAATGTCGTTCTGAAAAGGTGCCACACAGACGCGTTTTTGTGGCCAGAAAGTTCCACAATTTCAGAATGCGTACAATCTTGGACACATGTGAGCGCGTGCGTTCAAAGGCGTTATTGTGGAGGTTGAATCAACACGTTGGCCTGCGATTCAGACATGACAAAAAGCTTTTCTGTGCCACATAAAGTCTGGGCTGCCCGCGCTTTGTCCAAATGCCTGGGGTGTTTTCCTGCTCCGTGGGCACTTCATTTTGTGCAATAATTAAGTTGCATTCTTCACTGTCCAATCACGTTTAATATCGTGCAAAAAACAGATGAGAGCGTGCGTAAAATCGTGCCACAATGGAACGTGTGCGTGCTACGACGAGGGATATTTATACAAGAGATAAAATGTACAATAGCAGAAATATGTTTTAAAAGTAATTCACTATATTTGGGGTTTATTAGAGGAGTTAGATCGCTTTTGGTTGCAATAAAAAACCATTTATTCAGTGATAAAGCGCGCGTAACGGCCTTTCGCTCGTGTTGACTTAACTTTAAATTAACTTTACGCCAATAATGATCACTGAGACTGAGATCAGTTCTGCTGCAATCAGTAAACTGCTTAAAAATAATTAGAATAGATTAATTTGCCCAAAATGACCCAATTTGAACCGTGAGGATTTTGCACAAAGATCTTAAACTAAAGTGAAATGGAGCTCGCGTCCCGGATGAGGCGGATGGAAAAGTTTGTTGCGCGAGATTTGTGGAGTGTTACAGAGTGTTTCTTATGTTTTTTATTGTTTTTATCTTTATCAGGTTTATCTGTGGGCTTTCAGAGTGATGGAGGGTTAGGACTGTTGCTATAGTAATGTGAGGAAACCTTTAAAATAATTTGCTTTTAAAATAAAAACAACAATTTAGAACAAAATATGAACTCTTCTGAAAGGCGAAACGTGAAAATGTCAGACCATCGCTTTTCCTCTTGTACTTCTACACACTTGTAAATGCCTCTGAACCCTCTGCTCCTCTAACCCACACGTTTTGCTCTCAGACTTGTCAGGTCCCGACGGTAAACGAGCTCGGACCGCCTACACGCGCTACCAGACCCTGGAGCTGGAGAAGGAGTTCCACTTCAACCGCTACCTGACGCGCAGGAGGCGGATTGAGATCGCCCACGCACTGTGCCTCTCCGAGAGACAGATCAAAATCTGGTTCCAGAACCGGAGAATGAAGTGGAAGAAGGACAACAAGCTGAAGAGCATGAGCATGGCGGCGGCGGGAGCGGGGTACAGGCCCTAGTGGAGCTCTGCCCCCCCGAACCCTCACGGAACCGGAGGAGGTCTGAATGTCACCTGAGAATCTGATCATTGGTCCAAACCAGACTGTGAAACGTTTGCGCCATTTTCATTTTAACAGTGTTTGATTTGTGCTCAGATGTGTTTGTCCTTGCGTCTCTTTAAAAAGACTTGAAACGTAAAAATGAACAAAATAAAAAGTGTCACATTGTCAAAGTCCACGAGGCTCCAGCGGAAAACGAAAAACTCTTACTGTAATCTGCATATTCTTGTTCTACGTCTCTTTTGTCCATGTCTAAATATTTGTCCATTTCTATTCCTTTTGTTGACACGAGACTTGTTGTCTTGTTTTTGTAAATATCGTTGTCATAAGTTGGTTTATGGTCCAAAAAGAAAGTCCCGGATGCGGGCTATACGAGCAGGACTTCTTTCAGTTTTTAATGTACAACGTGTAACTAGACTGCGCTTTCTGCTGCTTTTCTGATTTCTGTTATTTTTGTCCCTGAAAATTCCACAGGATATTTTAATCTTCGCTATTTCTGGTTTTAACTTTACGCGCCCTAAAGGCCTGTACTTAACTTAAATGGTGCTCGTGTCTGCGCCCTCTCTCATTTTGCACACATATTCTTACATTTTTTGTGCTTTTCCAAAAAAATCACATTAGACTCAATCGAAAATAACACAAAAATAAATAATAATAATAAATAAATTTCCAAAATCTTCCGCCAAAACAAGTAGAGTAAAGTAAACAACATTTTGCGTCAAACCTACAGTTTTTTGTTCACAGTGGTTTCATTTTCCACATTTCTTAAACATTAATTCCACACAAAACAAGGTAAATATTGTTTAAAATACCTAAATAACTCGAGTCTAGTCTTAAATGTCTCCAAAAAACGGATTTAGTTTTCTTTTACGCACTGGCACTTTCCGCTCCCTTTGCGTATTTTTGATCAAATCATTCCATTTAATTAACAGTATCTCTTAAAACCACGAAATAAACACGAATTATACCTGAAAGTATTCCAGGATAGACCTTTACCAGCTCCATCACCACAAAGAAAATATGTTCGTAAAGTGAAAGGCCTATAATATTGTACCTTTTTTTTTTTTTTTTTTTTTTCTCGAGCGTTTACCTTTTTGTGACTTGTACAGTTCTGTAGCGTTAGAACAAAACAAAAAAACAACAAAACCAAACAAAAAAAACAAAAAAGAAAAAGTCAGGTAAATTATTTCTTGATCAGGCTGAAGCTTGAAGTGTATCTAAAATGTGAACAGTTGAATTATTATTAACCATATTATGAAAAAATCCGTATACGCTTTTGCTCTTGGTTCCTCTGTACTTAGTGTAAATGTGTGTATTTATTGGTTTGTAGTCACGCGCTTTACGAAAAATTATAACCAGCAAGAGTGTGGCCCGTGTACGTGTCCGGTCACTCTCTGTACGTCAGTTTTGTTTCACACTTTCCCCTGCGTGTTGGCCATTTTGTGGATGGTCTCATTTGTAAATAACATTTGCTTTCCATGTGCGTAATTCGCGTATTCATTTGTATTTTGTGTTGTTTTTGTTGTTTTTTTTTTTTAAAGACTGGAAGTCGAGAATATACTATGATGAGATATGAATAATAATGATGATAATAGTGCCCAATATAATAAACTTTCTACTCGGATATACGTGTGTGTGTGTGTGTAGCGTGCGCTTTGTCAGACTGGATATTGACTCCGTGACGCTTCCTGACGCTTTCCTGACGCGCCCTGACCTCTGCGTAACCCCGACGTGACTGCGGCTTCACCTGAATAAATTAGCTCCGTGTTCCCCGCGCGTTTGTTCGATATCAACAGGTTCTTGTTTAATGAAATGATCGACGTGGACTCACCTTTTCTCCCGTCTAGTGGGCGCGTGGGTGCGTGGGTGTCCCTTTTCCCCACCGCGGTTACCTAAACTTTATTGGAACCCACAACGCCGGAGCTCGTGTCTGTGCGCGCGTGTGACATTTGGCTCGGCTTAAATGAATGGCACTCTTTTTTGTGTCTATGAATTAGATCGTAAAAATCCTCCAGAGCGCGGCCAGATAGGCTGCACTGGCCATAAAGCGGTCACGTGGTGGCCATTAAAGTAAGTTTTATGGTTTTGGGGAGTTGACAGTATATTGCACATAACATATAATCTCAGTGACGGCCGAGGCTGGCTCTGATTCTCGGCTCGGGACTCGGCGGGGCTCTGGTCGGAGAGGAGGGGAGCGCCGCGGACGTGGAGTCGTGCGTGCGCCGCGTGTCCTGGTAAGTTTTTTGGGCGACTCCAGAAGCAGAGGAGAGCGGGCAGAGACAGCGCGTTATTGTGTTCGCTGCCTGTATCCGTCCCCTATTAGTGCATTAGCGTCATTTGTCTGGAGCGCAGCGCTGATTTGGAGCTGGTCTGGGCAGATGTTGCGCGGGGTTGGGTCCAGCAGCTCATGGCTATTTAATTGCTTCCTTCCCTCGTTGTTCGCGTCCATCTGCGGTGTAAGTCATAATCCGTTTTTACATGTTGGATAATTAGCTCTTGGTCCACTTCCACCCCCTTAAAAGCTCGTTGTCGTTTGGAGCTTTCCCAGACCACGATCCACAAGTTTCCTCTTGATAGTCACCTGATAATCCCGTTCTAACTTTGAGCCCATTGTGGAGGAGATGTTCTAAGTTGGTTGTAAAAGTGTGTCGAGTAAACACAAGCTAAAGTGAGCAAACAGCAGCAGCAGGACACTGGAACAGGAATTCCGTTTTGTGTCCGCCACGTCATTTTGGTGGTGGAAGGGTTGAAAAGTTCAAACCAGTGGTCACTCTCGCTTTGTGCTGACCTCTGTCCAGACCCGGTGAGGACGGGGTCAGGCGCACTCGAGAAAACACTGACCCACACAAGCGCTCTGGGGATTATTAATATTGTTATGAAAGATCTTTGAGTCGTGTGAATAATTTGGTTTTGTCCTGGCAAACTTTGGGGATTGCTTGTTGACCTTGTGGAAATTGAAACGGTACGTACTCCCATTTTGGAGCTTGGAAACATGAGGAAACCAGTTATTTCGATGTGTTTGTGTTGTGGCTGCACTTAATTAGTAGATTTCTATCTTGATGTGTGTATTTTTATACCTAAAACGTGATATCAGCTGCTTTTATCTGCATAACTCCATTTCACCCGTGTGTGCGTAATTGTGGAAGCTAACAAAAACCTGTGCAGTCTCTTGTGTGTCTTGGCTGAGAAGAAACAGAAATCTAGAAAATGGGCTTTAGAATAATAATCAGGCATATTTCATAAGAGGTTTCGTCTTCATTTGCTAAGGACGTCACAAACTTTACTTTTAATATATTGGAGTCATTTGGAACATGCCTCACGTGGAACCTTTGTTAAAAGTCACCTTTAAGAAAAATCATTCTCTCTCCTCTTCCCTGTCTGGCTTCATACACTCTGGAAACACAAAAAGCCTCATTGCGAGCGCCACTATTTGTAAATGAAACGTGGTGCCAATAATTCAAGGCGGAGAGACGTTTGCGCGCAGAGTGTTGGCGCAGAGACGCGGGGAGAGAGGGGAGAGAGGCAGAGCAGCAGCGGCGGGTTCATCTGGAGGTCATCCCCGGCACAAGATAAATCTGCACCCTCCCGAGCCACCAGCAGAGCCCGCTTTAGGCCAAGTTCACTGTCATACCGCGAGAGAGCTGTGCGCACGAGAGGAGAACGGAGGCGCGCACTCGAACGCGCGATGTACGCTCCTTTAATGACACGTTTCTATGCGCTTCTTTAATGAACGTGTCCAAAGACAGAAAGCCTCGTGGTCGGAAATGGCGTGCGCGTGCGTAAACCTGCGTAAAAAGGGGGATAGCCTCTAACAAAGTCTTTTGGCTGTTTTGCTTGATCTAACTCTAATGAAGGATTTGCATAAGGCTTGGCGCCGCGCACTCGCAGCGAGTTGGAAACGTCACAAAGCAGCTCACGGCTCCAATTATGATTTGGTGCAGAAATGATCGCCCCGATGGCAGCAGATACGCGGAGTCAGAATCATTTTTTATCTTTGGAGAGGTCGGCTCTGCTGATGAGGGGAAGATAGAAGGAAAAATTGGGGTCAAAAGTTTAGGCAGTGAACAGTCTCCGTCATCTGTTCTCTCGGAGCGCGATGCCAGCCTTATAATAGCGATCTAGACTGCCCACACAAAAGACAGAATAGCTTTGTATTACATATGTTGCACTGTGCACTCCAGGTGAACCCTGGAAGCCGAGTGACCTCGCGTTAGGCAGCGACCCCCCGTCCGGCCCCCAGCAACAAGATGGAGTGGCTGGCGTTTTATTAGCGGAGCTTGATTGGTGAATTCCTTTTGAATAAATCGCATTTGATATGTTTAGGGACGAGGGGCGCGCATTTGCATTCCGAGGATTGATACTCTCGACCCGGTCACAGGGTAAAGGCAAAGCCCGCAGCCCCCAGAGCGAGCCCCCGGAGCCCTTAAAAAACATTTAGCCCCGCTCGTCCTTACCGCCTCAATGGACGCCTTTATCAGGGCACAAATGGCACAGATGTTTGCGCACAGCTCGGATCAATTTTGGACCAAAATCTGATTTGAGAATGGTTCACTTTTTGCGCGTGGTAAAATATAGCACAAAATTGTCCACGTCGTTTATTATTACAAAAGAGCACTTTAAGCGCACGAGGCCTTGTCAGTAAATTCTGATAATGACTATAATTAATCAGATGACATTTAAAAAGAGCTGTTTGATTGTTTATTTTTCTATAGATGCAGAGAAGAGCCGAGGTTAGGCTTTAGAGAAAAAAAAAACCCTTTGTTCCCTAAACAAAAATACGAACTTGGAATTTTGGGAAAAGTGCAGCGTGACTACGGCCTGCTCGTAACGGCGCCTACTTTAACATTTTCTCCAAATTTAACTAAAAATATTTCTATTATTTGTATGAATTGTAAATATAAAACTGAACAATTTTTGACATTAATGTTGACGTATTTGAGCAGGTGTTTTTCACTTCACATGTTTCGTGTTCATTAAACAGTTTGAAGCAGTTTTTTGTCATTTATGAAGCTGCAATTAACCAAAGAAAAAATAAAAACAAAACATGAATATAATAATTATTTGCAACAACTACATGCTTTAAAAGAATAATTTAAGGTATTGGAATATTAGTAATATTTTAAACTCAATACACGCTTAAAACACGCACAAGTATGAAATAATTTGTATAATTTATCTGCAAATTTAAATGTTTCTGTGTGTTTATATCATGTTGGAGATCTCATTTGATTAAACCCTGTTGGTATAAAATAGTTAAAGCCCAGACTAGTTTGTAAATCAGAGCTTTGTGTGTTGGTCAGAATGTAGGTCACCTTGTCCATTGTCTAATAAAGATGCACAGCTCACGTTTTCTAATAGACTTTTGATTTGCTTTTATCGATTTGACTTTTAACCACTTACTGTCGTGCGTAAAACCACCGCCACTTATGTAAATATGAATATCTTTACTGGACAACACACTGGTCATTAAATGTACCCAATCCATAGAAATAGCACCGAACATGGCTCCGTGTTGCTCAGCTGTAACAGAGAAAATCAGAATAATAAACATATTTGTAGTTTGTCACGATGCGTGGGCGGAACAGAGGTGCGCCGTGGCCCGAAACCTTGGCACGGCTCAGGACGCACAGGACCATTTTTCGCCCCGTCGTGAGTGGAGCCGCTGCAGACAGACAGGGACCTTGTGCGCGCCGTGTGCCATCAGTCACCATCGGCACAGCACTTCTCTGATAATCTCAATTTACAGTAACGTGTCACCGTGATGAATCTGTGCTTAAACAGAGCTTTACTTCACACTGTACGCTCCGCTGGCACCACGCTCCATTATAACGGGCAAAAAGGAAAACTGAATATAAAGTTGGGAACGGTTTTTACGCACGACGCCGGCGGAGTTTATAGGCTCGTATTCAGCCTGGACTCGACCACTTCCCACAAAATACGCGTTATCAAAGCAGCCAAAAGCGTAGATCCTCTGAAGAGTCAACATTTGATTTGTGATAGTAACCTACTTTCAATTGTTTTGCAGTAAAATAAACATACATTCATAGTGTTTATGCTATACCAATATAATATTTGTAATACTGCTGATTTATTGTTACCACGGATGCGTCATGGCTCGCTGCACGGGTTGCACATAGGGGCGGTTTTGTTGTGCGTAAAACCGAACCGTATCTTAGTTTTTTTGAAATTTAAGCTCAAAATATGCTGTGATGTTGAAGTGTTTCCTTTCCGTAGCCCGGGCCTGTATCTATCTGGGTATCTGTGTCAGTTTTTTGCATCTCGCCTACTCAACCCTTACGCGAGGCCTGCGCGTATCTTGCCCGTAAGTGCATCTCTCCAAACGTTCCAAGAGACGCAGATTCATCAGCATATTCCAGAATGTGCTCAACAAGTCGAGTGACCCGTGCAAACAAGACTGAGACCGAGTAAGTGCTTAATAGCGCCATATTTAAACATGGCTTCACCCCCCCTCCTCCTCCTCCAGCTCCAGCTCCAGCTCAAGCTCCAGCGCGCGTTTGGAGGAGTGCGCGGACGCCGTGGCTGTAAATTTAGATATCATGTATAGTCTTCTTACCGCTGACAGTATAGTGACATATAGCCCCTCTCCGGTGGTCTCTCAGGCGCACGGACACGCTGGTTAGACCCGGCTACTGTTGCTGTGTGTGTGTAAGCTACACCCGAGCCAAAAGGAGCTATAGTGCAGTGACCAAACCATTATGAGCAGCTTGAATTAAGAGCATGTTGCATCTTGTTACAACAACTATTTGCGCTTAAAACAACAAACAAAATCTCATGTTGGTTCAACTAAGAAAACAGCGTGTTCCATTGGTGGATATTTTAGAGTAAAATCTGGTGAAAATGCGTAAAATATTTGTAATTTGAGGCATTTAAACTGGTTTTTAGAGTGTGGTGATGAAATTCCCCAGCGTAATTATGTTTTTTGTGCGTCTATTTTCCACTTTCTGTGCGTGTGTGTGTTTGGAATTCCAGTTTGCAGTGTTGTTGTTGAGGGAAAACTATAGAAGCACCATTTTGTGTAGCTGGCTTTTGGGGACCATGCACGCTCCTGCTGCTGCTGCTTCTTCTTGTTCTGCTGCTGCTGCCCCCACGCTCTTAAACTGAAGTCCAAGTCCGGGGTGAGGCCCAGGTCAGCGCGTCTAACAGATATGAAAATGTCGCCTCTTTGGAAAAAAAAAAAAAAAAAAGGGCACGCCTCGTTGTTTAACAAAGACTGTCAATGGGCAAGATTAATCAGAAACAAAATGCACGCGGTGTCACTCGGGGGTCAAGCAGGAGTTATCGGTGTGAGGGAGAGAATGGGATCGTGGGGAGCAGAAGGGGGCCAAAAGAGAGAAAAGAAAAGCATTCGATATTTCCAAACTTTGCTCTACTATTTGTGCGCGCAGGGCCCTGGTTACGTGGACAGTGAGGATCACGCTCCGGACTGGACTTTCAGGGACAAGACGCAGAGTGGACGTGGAGTGGACACAGGGGACTGACGTGATGGACCCTGACACAAATCACGGTAAGATTATTTTAAATATTTACAAAAAAATGTGCCTGAGATCTTTAAAAACTAAGAAAAATCTGCTACAAGTTATAATTTATTACAACTTAGCTCAAATTTGGTCCAAAAATGTCACTTTTTGGAGAACATGTCTGTGCTTTGGACTTTTAGAACCACTGGAAAACAACTGCAAAAAAACCATAACTCCAAATAATGACATAATTCACATTCCAGATCATCAAAAGTTAACTCAAGTTCAAAAACATATTCCAGACTTTGCTCATTAGAAGTTCGAGGCCACAAACTTCTCCACATTTTATGTATTTATGAATTAATTCAATCTACAGCCTCATGAATGACACAAATGGGAGAAGATTTAATTGAAAATAAAATAAATAGTTTTGAATTTGTACTGAGTAAAACAATTCTTGTAATTTTTAACCTCAAAGCAAATATTTAAAGAAATTATTATTATTATTATTATTATTATTATTATTATTATTATTATTATTATTATTATTATTATTATTATTATTATTATTATTATTATGCTATATATTTTTTATAATATTTTTTGTGTGTAGAGAGATTGTCGTAGAGTGTTTCATATTCTCCAAAGATGTGCAAAAATAATAATATTACAAACGTTTAGAAGCGTAAAGATGCTTTGAGGATCAATAATTGTTGGTAGAAATAACTCTGAGCTGCGTAAAACCAAAATGTAGAAAATCTAGTATTGTATTTGTAACTAAACTAGAAGTAAGTCACGTTGTATGAAAATGGTGCTCAGATGAAGAAGGCGCGTAAACATGAGCACGTACGCGCCCCTGAACCAAACTGGAAACCAGAATATTCTTCCAAATCCACCAAAAAAGGCGTCGTTACGCATGGAGATAGCTGCACGTTTGTCCAGATTGCACAGAAACAGCCTGATGGATTGGCAGATACAAGACGTACCCACTCCTAACCCACCCTGGAAAACAAAATATAAATAAATATAAATTCGAATCCAACAAAACAGAGTGGTTACGCATGGAGGCAGCTTGTACATTTGTTCAGACTGGTACATTCTGAAGCGTTTCACTGCTCGGAGTTAGGTCCAGGATTGGAGCTGACATCTGCTCGGCTCCTCTTGTGGGATGCGGTGCGTCAGTGCGCCTCGCCTCCACATGTGTCTCCAAAAGCGGGTCCAGTTTGGCGATACGCGTTTAAAAGCTTCTAATGGCGCACGGGGAGCAGAGCATGAGCAGAGCAGCCGCCCGTGATGCCCGCCATGTGCACACACTGGACAAGCGGAGGCCACGGCTGGATTCAGTGTGTTTTTTTTAGTAAACTAGAGGCACAAAAATATTTACAAAAGTGAATTAGAACAAAATAGGAGCTGGTCGTGTGTGTGTTACCAGCATACATCTGTTTTTGCGTTATTTTTTGACGTGGTTGGTGCACATCTCCAGTCCTATTACGCACGCAACACGAGTGCAAGTGCATGGAGGGGAAGTTCTATCATCTTATTTTACATGGCGAGGGGAAAGTGGAGTTTGAACGGATGAAATGGCTTGTTCGGGAGCTCGCTGGTTCATAATTCATATTTGACGCAACACATGACCTAACGTATTTGTCAACATCCACCAGGAGCGCCCTTTTGTCTGTTGTCCGCGCGCATTTTCGGCTGTGTTCTCCCATGAGCGGGGATGTTTTTCACACGGAAAGCCTCACCCACCGAAGTTTGGCGGTAAACAAGTTGGGCTGATTGCTTTTGCTTTATATACCGTGATTTAATAAGCAAAACACAACGTAAGCGCGAGAGAGGAGCGTCGGTGCTGCCAGTGCCATGCTCGCTATTGGTTCCTGTTTACATGATGCCCACAGGACACGACGTGATTGGTGGCGCCTCGCACGTGACCAGGCAACTTTGTACATTTGACAGGGGGAGTAGGAGGGTTTTGTGGAGATCAGTAAAAACGACAGCGCGATAAAAATTAGTATTGTTGCACTTCACAAATTAATGACCATGAGTTCCTACTTGATAAACTCCAACTATATCGAGCCTTCGTTTCCGCCATGCGACGAGTATCAGCAGAGCGGCTACATCCCCAATCCTGGCGACTACTACGAGCGACCGAAGGAGACGGGCTTCCCCCATCACGACGAGACATCCTATCCGAGGTCAAACTACAGCGAACCGGGATACGACTACGGCACCGTCCCCGCGCCTGGACCTCCGGGACTGGACGATTTCAGCGAGCACCACCACCACCAGCCCCAGCCGCAGGTTCCACAGAGCCAGCACGCACCTCCGCGGCTCTCGGCGGGCCCGGACGTCTCTGGCACGGGGGCAAACGCCTCTAAAGACTGCAGCCTCGCCGGGGAGGTGTACCCTGGCGTGGCGAACAAGGGCAAGGAGCCGGTGGTTTACCCCTGGATGAAGAAGGTGCACGTTAGCACCGGTGAGTGTTATGTCTTTCTGTTTGTACAAGCCATTGAGCTGCCCCTTTACAGCTGCAATTTACGACTATCGAGCAGCGGGGTCGGTAATTAAGGACCCTCGTAAATTTTATCGCCCGTGTGCGTCTGGAGGGGCCGTGCGCGATGCTTTCGTTGCTTTTTAGAATCTGCTGTAATGCAACTGGATCGGAGCCAAAGCTTAATCTGCGTAATATCCAACCCTGCTGTTTTTGTTAATCATCTCTGCAGTTATGGCGTAATAAAGCTTTGGTTGCAGCCCATTGTACGGCAAAAGGGGCAAATAAGCAGCAAATCGAGATAGCAATAGAATGGGATTCCACAAGTACACGCGGATAAGGTGTAAAACTTGTACTTGTACGCATTTAGACGCGTTTCGTGGGTACGGGCTGATTAGTGGCTGACATCTGTTAAGCTCCTCTCACCGTAGTCTGCGCACGGGGCTTCAGAGCGGCTCGCCTCCACATGTGCCCCCCGAGTTTGACCACTTGTGATAAGGGTTGGTTTGGCGCTACGGCAGAGATACGGGAGAACAAACAACGTGTCGTGTCCCTTATGTACACACACTCGACACTCTGACACGAACAGCCCTGTCCAGTTGTAACACGAGACCTTTCATGGCATTTATGGCGCGTATAGACATCACAGCAAAAGCCCATCCATAGAACCACCCCATAACACCTGCTTCCGTTCCTTGTAGTCAACGCCAGTTACAACGGAGGAGTGCCCAAGCGGTCCCGCACTGCCTACACCCGTCAGCAGGCTCTGGAGCTGGAGAAGGAGTTCCACTTCAACCGCTACCTGACCCGGCGCAGACGCGTGGAGATTGCGCACACCATGTGTCTGTCCGAGCGCCAGGTCAAGATCTGGTTCCAGAACCGGAGGATGAAGTGGAAGAAGGAACACAAGCTGCCCAACACCAAGATCCGCAGCAGCTCCTCGTCCTCCTCCGCCGTCTCCTCCGCCGCGGGGCCCCAGCCACAGCAGCAGATGAAGACAGGCCCCCAGCCGCAGCTCGTGCCAACGCCTGGGCTATAGTGCACGAGCCGCGCCCCGGAACACAGACTGACATGTGGATCTGATGGACCAGTATTTTACACGGTGTTCAAACCCATGTCCCCTCTCCCTCTGCGCTCTCCATAAAAGCTTGAATATGACCTTTAACTGCCCCACAGGCAAGTGAAGCGTTTCTATATTGTCGAATGTTATGACAGAAGGACAATTACGCACATTACATGAAAGTTGTATCATTAAATGGAGTCAGGTGAAGTACGTTCATTTTTGATTTTGTATTTTGTTTTCTCTATCTCTCATGGAAAGTTCTAATAAAATACTTGAAAGATATTTAGCGAGACTCGATGCCTGTAGGAACCACACATTTTTGTAGAGGCGTCGCTCGAGAGTAACAGTGTAGTTCGTTTGAATGTAGTCCAGGTGACTTTGACATTTGACTGTAAATAGACAAATCCTAATGAAGGCACAATAAGAACAAGCATTCTGTTTAGTCGCTGTTCGTTGTCCGTTGTTTGTGTAGATTTGCTTTAGTGCTGCTTAGTGCGTCCCATGTCGTGCTGTATTCTCAACTGTGAATATCTGTCCGTATATTGTCAGTAGCGGTGTTGTGAGCTCTATAGTTTGATCTGTCTTTGTGAAATAAATTTGTGCTTCACTTCTAAGAATGACGTGGCTACGCTTGTGTTTTTTCCCCCGGTCTTGAGAGCCGTGCGTAAATCAAACCTGACCATGTCACTTAGACGTCTCGTTCTTATGATTCAAAAAAACTGCAATGTTGCATTTCTGGCTACTTCATTTGATTTCATTTATGCTGACAAACATTTTCTTATTGCAACCTTTTCAGAATCTTAAACACTTTGGTTTGGAGAGTCGTGCGTAAAATGGAAATATATCGCTCCTTTGTGCTATCAAACGCATCAACCATATCGCTATTTTACTTTTAATTTAAACTATTGGTTGCTATAGGGACTAAATGAATAATATCTGGATTGATGAGGGAAGTTGGGTCACTTTTATAACAAAAAAGATGCACATTTATTTAAGTTATGCCTAATGGATGTACAAAATGAATGCGTAAACATGCTTTATTGTCATGCGTAATTCTGTGGATAAAGACAGAAGGCGTCTGCGTAAAAGACGGGCATCAGCTGTCCCTTCTTAAGCGTTTTTTGGACTCTTTGCAAATCAAACCGAGCACAGATTGCGGGTTTGTGGCCAATGTATCCGGCCACACACGCATTGTTCCCATGCGCTTGGCCACTGGAACATCCCCGTGCACCCGAGTGTGAGCGTTGGTCAGTACCTGCTACATCCAAACAATAGAGTTCACCCAGAGGACACGCACGGAGCTGGCCAATCACCGCCTCCCAGCACTGCAGCCGACCCCTGACCTTTCGACACACACTATGTTAAGGCCATATATCAGCGCGGGGACGTAGGCAAACTTTTCTCTTCTCTCCTGGGTTAAGATGTAGAGACAGAGCAGAAACAAAAAGTGTGTTTTCGGTGTGAATTTGATAGATTCGCCCGAAATGATTCTCAGAGAAGGCCCCTCCGCGATCCATCATTGCGGCAGATGTGTCAGGGGTGAGACAGAGGCGAGATATGAGCTGCAACATGCGTCGCTCCGGCGTCTCAATGAAAGCTTCTAATCGTCTGTATGACAATGAATTAATAAAGAAAAGGCTTTCCCGGGCGCGCCGAGCTTTGGTCATTAGAGGAGCGGTTCCCAGCGGTTTATGCCGAGCTTGTTTTTGGAAATAGCAAAGGGATTCTAATGTCAAATGACTCACCAGTGTTATGGTTGTCTTTGGGTATATTTACATACCAAACTACACAACTTGTGAGGACCTATTTTTAGATTTACTTTAACTTATCAATGAAACTACACCTAATTTTTAAATGTAAGTTTGATTTTTTTTAATCAACTCAAATACTACGATACTAGATGATGACTATATAGTGTTTATATATAGTGTATTTTCCGGAATAGTCTTTATTTATTTATTTATTTTTTTGAAAAGGTTAGGCCTATTTGTTTGTGCTGTGTAATGACTGCTCGTAACGTAAAATAATAAAATAAAATAAATAAAAAAATTGAAATATTTTATAAATACGTAGGCTAATATTTAAGAAAAATATTTAAAAGTAAATTGTTTTTATTGCATCAAACTGTCATAATTTGTTAAACTGTATTTTTAAGTTTTAATTTATTTTAATAGCAGCTTTCATCAGTAAGGCGATTTTTTTTTTTTCTAATTTACGCATTTTCATTTCAAACTCACAAGTGAGAGTTCGGGGAAAAAAAGAATAAAATACAGCAATAACTATCTTAAATGATTATTATTATAAAATAGTGCTTCAAATGAAGTGTAATTTCTTTCTCATGCGGGTCTCAGGGTGTGGAGTGTAGGCACGAGGCTGAGCAGAAGATGGCGTCCCTCCATTGACTCCGCGCGCTCCCAACTTCACCCTCGCTCAAAGTGACACTTGCTCATGTCATTCCGCTCAAATAGAGGTCACTTCCAAAGTATGAATTTTTAATCCACCTTTCACACGTGACTTGGTGAATTATGGATTAGCGTTGGGATCAGAAATAGACGCGAAATTGCGCCTATATTTTCACTTCAGCTTCTCCTTCAGCTTCAGCTTCTGCTTCTTCTTCTTCTTCTGCGCACTGTCCGCTCCGGAACCGCGTGAGTACAGCCAGAACTTGCTCAGATAAGGAGTGTTTTTTCATCTCGTGGAGCGTGGGTGCATATGGTTACGTATTTCTTTGCATCGCGTTAGATAAATTACGTCGGGGAGAAACTCTATGCAAATTTACTGTTAACACCCAACCTGCTATTTATCTATATTACACTTCTGCCTATATTAGCCTTCCATTAGTGTTCTACAGTAATTACATGTCGTGATTGATGTGTATTGTGTGCGTCAACGTGATACCAGGAGCCTCTATTTCCACAGATTGACACGCTGTTAAATTGGCACAGTTGGCACCAAAGCGCAAGACGCGTAGTGGAAGCCTATTACAGTTTTTCTTGGTGCAAGGTCTTTAAGGGACGACACTGCTCCTCTGATGGATTAAAATTAGAAGTGGTTGGCGGAGGGGATTGTACCTGAATTACAAAATGTATTTCAATTATAGAGAAAAGTGGTCAAATGTTCATTACTTCTCCGTTTTGCGATCCGAGACAAAGCGCGAACGTGGAATGTGGCCTTAAAAGGAATCATTTTAAACATTATTCAAAAAGAAACTATTGTATATTTAATTTAGCATATTTTAATCACATTCCTGTCAAATAAAACGCTCTGGGAAATGACCCTATGCGTATTTTGGACTTTCAGCAAGTTTATCTGTTCTGTATGGAGCGAAAGAGACAACCCCCTGCTGGTTGTGTAATCAAACTGGATCTGATTTCAAAAACATGTGTTAAAGTTCAAGAATAGTTTGAGAATTCATGTGGCAAGAAGGGAAGCTCTAGTGGAGCATGGATTCGGGGGTTAAAAACGCGTTCACAGGGTCTTACAAATGACAAAAAAAGACTCAAAATCAACGCGTGACCATCGTTCAAATCCGTGAGTTTATTTATTACGTAACAAAACAGTTTTACGCACCGTGCCAGAGATTTAAGAATCAATTTGTGTTTCATATACTTGTCATAAATCATACTTCTTATCACACCAGATCATGTAAAACCTTTCAAATCTTAATTTTTGTCTATTTTTCGTTTTGAAATGTTGGTTTTAAATAATAATAATGATCATTTTTGAGCTGCTGCAGGCGTAAAATGGGCCTAAAAATAAACGTAAATTCAATCAAGGACGTTTCAAATGCACTTGGATAAGAAATCAAAAATGGACAATCGTAGTTCCAAAAGAGGACAAAACGTCTTTATTCACTCTCATAGATTTTTAATAAACGCAAACACTTTGGAGACATTGGACTCCAGCCTCTACAGCCCCTAATGTTCATGACGGGCTGCTTAGTGGAGGAGTAGACGCGTTGAATTTCGCCTTGATGTTGGCCTCTCTCTGTAAAGACACCGAGGCAGGCTCCAGCGCTAACCAGAGGCAGACTGTTGAGAGCTGCCCCGGAGCAGTGTCGACAGCAGCGCGGGGCCGGGCTGGGAGATACGGCCGCTGTCTGGCCCTCGTCCAGGGAGCTGCGTCTGGCTCCGGGGCGTTGACAGCGAGAAGGAGCAGGCACTAGATCTTATTAAAACACAAGTGGATCCTGGTGTAGTGAAGATTTCTATTGTTTTTTTTTTTCTTTTTTCTGTGCAGTGCAGTTTTCATAAAGTTGTATGAGCTGTTATGAGATTGTGAGAAAACAGCCAGAAACAAAATTGCCTGGATTAAGGAGTGAACGAGTTAAATTAAAACTACGAGGCGTGATGGCATTTCAGCAAAAAGATTCACACGTTCAGTTGTTTCTATCCACTTAAAATAGCTGCAAATCATTTTCTGCACACGCACAACGAAAGAAAGAGTTTATCGATTAATAAAAATGCTTAAATCGTATTTTTAAAAAGTCACTTATGTCTTAAACTATTCCAAAAAACATCTACAGAATTCCATTTACACCCTTTAGGCAAACAAGGAAACAAAATATCAGATGTTTTTGTGTCAGCAATTCTAATTTGTGTTTGTATTTGTGAATTAAAGCTTAAAATAAACTTCCTTTGACGCATAAAAGTCACAACAGAATGAAATATAACCTATAGTTGAGTTCAGAATGATTTTAATTATGTACGTTTTTCGTTTAGATTAAAAAATCAATCAACAAGTTTATAAAAGGGAATTAAACAAAACTTTAAATGAGCACAAACAAAGCTTTTTTTTTAAATCATGGCAAACACAGTTTTGGAAAAGAGGATCTGGAGAATCTAACTTCCGTGTGTCGACTTCCAAAACTTAAAAACTGTCCAAGAATATTCCAGGTTTTCCAAGTGAGGCCTGCGGTTTGATAACAGAGAAAAGAGCCATTTCTACCGTCCATCACTCGCCGCTCACCGGGTCAAGGAAAAGTTCACGTGCGACGTGGAGAGGCACCGCGAGGTTATCCAGCAGGGCGCGCGCACTCGGTCAAACAGCGCCCCTCTGGACAATCTGGGGACACAAAGAAAACGTGGAAAAAAAACACATCAAACCTCGCCAAGTCCATCTACAAACCCGCAAACCGCGTCGTAAATTCAAAATTAATCCGTGCGTAAAAGTGGCGCTCGGCTCGCTCCAAACGCGCCCCAGTTCACCGTGCGTAAAACCAAAAGTTCAGCGCGCTCAAGTTGTAGTTTGAGCAGACAAAGGCATGGCGCGGCGGAGGGATGCAGCTCTGTCCGCCTCACATGATTAATAGTCGGGTAGGATTTTTCCACGCCCGCTGTGGAGCTGGGGGCTCGCGGAAAAGCGCCAAACGGAGGAGCCATGACGCACAGTTTAGTGGTGTCATATTCTAACGTAGGATGTCACTAAGGCGCATTAACAAGTATAAATCATATCTTTGACAAATATTGATTTCTGGGGAGATCTTATAACAGGTTGTGTCAAGTTTAAATGCGGCTTTAACGATCTATTAGCAGTAAAGAAGGCAATTACTGTCTTGTTCGCTACGTGTAACTTTCTCATGTCACATCACTCAAAACGTCTGTTGTTTTAACCTGGATTAGAACGGGACTAAGAGGGTTAAGTCTCAAATGCAATTGTATAAACTAGCACAGACACAGAGCTAAAACAGAAACCAGGTTATGATCCTAAACCAGGTCTAAACTAAACCAGGTCTAAGACTAAACGGATTAAACCTTTTGGACTCCAAAGACTCAAAGTGCACGGAATGTTTTTGTGATTATGATTTAGTTTCGGTGGAATAAAACCTGAGCTGAATATTGATGATACTTTTTACATTAGTTAAGAAGCAGAAAGAACAAAAAAATAGAACAAAAAGTATACAAGAAGTGGTGATAAGTTCTAAAAAGGAATTCATCTATTTATGTGATCAGACAATTTACGCGCAACCAGCAAAGTTTAGACATTAAGTTGATCAAATAAAGTTGATTAAAACAATAAAACTGTAACTTCACCACAAAAAATATTGGGAAAACTAGGTACACAAGATCTTAAATATAATAGTTTTAACTACAAAACTGTCCGACGTGCTAAATGGACTACAAAGCTGCATCCTGTAACTTTTCTGGTGGAGGATACGCCCTCTGCTTTAAACAAACACCACCAGGACAAGTGACTAATCAGGTCTGTGGAGAAGTGACGCTCACAGGATAAACACCTGTTTGTTTTTGAGGTGTTTTAGAGCAATAAAAACACTATCTAGGTAAGTTAAAATGACTGGAATTAAGAATATTTTACTTTATTTGAGTCGATTCAACTTGATAAGTCACATTGTTGATGGAATAAGCGTGTTTTTCTTAATTTAGTTTGATTTTGTTTGTTATTTTCAGTGCAAAAAGTTGTCGTTTTTCTTATTTTAAGTGTAACAACATGTATTTTCATATTTTAAATACAAAAAGCCTTAAATATTTTTACTTGCCAAGTGAAATTTACTCAAATCATGATCAAACTGTCTTAATTCAAGTCATCTTAACTTGACTAGATTTAGTTTTTTGCAGTGTATAACTTATTTTGATATATTGCCAGAGTTAAAGGTGCACTGTGTAACTTTTCTGGTGCAGCGTCTGCTTTCATTTTCACTTTGGAGATGTCATTTTTTGTCATTGTTTTGACTAGAATGTTCCATAGTACGGCATTAAACATGTTTTTCTCCATGGAGATAAGCAGGTGATGAAAAAGTACGCACTGCACACTGGAAAAAACAATATCTATGTACATTAAAATGACTTAAATTAAGGATATTTGACTTTATTTGCATCGATTCAACTTGACAAGTCAAATTATCTAAGTGTGTTTTTCTTAATTCAAGCAACAATTCAATTTTGTTTTGTATTTTAAGCGCAAAAAATGTTTGTTTTTCTTATTTCAGGTGCAAAAAGTTGTTGTTTTTCTTATTTTCAGTGCAGCAAGATGTATTTTCATATTTTAAATACAAAAAGTCTTGTTCCACTTGCAGATCATTTTACTTGTCAAGTGAAATTTACCCAAATCGTGATAAAATTTTCTTAATTCAAGTCATCTTAACATGACTAGATTGTGTTTTTTTTTGCAGTGTACGTGGTGAGTCCTTTAGTTAGTCCTGGTCCAGATCTGGTTTAGGCCCGGAATAGTCCCTGCTAGATCTGTTTAAGTTCTTATTTAGTCCTGGTTTTAACACGTGACCCAATTTAGTTCGGTTATTTTATGATCGTCTTAACTTGGACTAGATGTTTGTTTTTTTTTTTTTTTTTAACAGTGTAGCTACAGTTAATGCCCTACAGTGGAACATTACAGGTAAAGAATTGACGTCTCACCTCGTGTCCGACCTCCCACTCCCCCAAAAGTGCCAGTATTAGGTTACATAGTGAGACTTTAAGGAGTGTCAGCCCACCTCTATCGTTCACACTCGACTAAAAACATGACCATAATATCCTCCCTCCTCTGCGGCTGTTCCCCCGGTGCGTCTTCACCCCTCCTGTAACCCCATCCGCGCGAGGGGCCGGGGCCTGGGGAGGGGGGGGACCGTGTTCTCATAAGTGGAGTCTTTGGTTCGGATCAGCTCCACTTTCCTGTCGCGGACACGTTGAGGCGCATAGAGGGAGGACCACCTGCCTGTAGGTGACGAGCGGGGAAGGCGGACGCATGCGCAGTGCGGACTCGAGGCTACAGCGCCCGAGGTGAGGAAAAGGGGGCGACATTGAGCAAGTTTTTACAGCTTTGGTTGGGGATTCACGTGGAGGTTGAGGCTTAAGACTTGGAAAAAAACAAAAACAAAAAACCAATATCTAGGTGAGTTAAAATGACTTCAGTTAAGAATATTTAACTTTATTTGAGTCGAATCAACTTGACAAGAAACATGATCAGTGTTGGGAGGGTCACTTTTAAAATGTAATCCCCTACAGATTACAGATTACAGACCCCAAAATGTAGTTTGTAACGTAATCCATTAAATTACTTAAAGTGAGTAATGTAATCTGAATACTTTGGATTACTTGATTTGCTGTAGAGAAGCAAAGACGAGGAAATCATAACATAAGATGTTTTGTCTGATAAAAGAAAATAAAAAGCCCAGACTTTACTTAAACATATAAAAAATATTATTGATAGAAGAAGAAGAGACACGGTCTGCGCAGCACAGTTTAGTCCTTTTAAATCCTGTTTTAGACCTGGTTTAGTCCTGGTTAAGTCCTGGTTTAGTCCTGGTTTAGACCTGGTTTGGCCCTAGTTTAGACCTGGTTATAGACCTGGTTTTAGTCCTGGTTTAGACCTGGTTTAGACCTGGTTTGGCCCTAGTTTAGACCTGGTTATAGACCTGGTTTTAGTTCTGGTTTAGACCTGGTTTAGACCTGGTTTGGCCTAGTTTAGACCTGGTTAGACCTGGTTTTAGTCCTGGTTTAGACCTGGTTTAGACCTGGTTTAGTCCTGGTTTAGACCTGGTTTAGACCTCTTTTAATATCCAGCAATGAGTGGAATTACTGAGAAAAAAAAACAATCCAATTACCACTCACTGAAACAGTAACTGTAACTGAATACAGTTACTCATAATTTGTACTCTGATTACATCTCCGGTACATGTAATCTATTACTCCCCAACACTGAACATGATATATTCATTTTTTTCAACATTTGATTTAGTTTAGTGCAAAAAGTTGTTGTTTTTCTTATTTTGTATGTAGGAAGATGTATTTTTCATATTTTAAATACAAAAAGTCAAAAATTTACTCAAATCATGATCAAACTTTCGTAATTCAAGTCATCTTAACTTGACTAGATTGTGTTTTTTGCAGTGTACAACTTAATTTGAGTTAAAGGTGCACTATGTAACTTTTCTGTTGGATCGTGTGCCTTAATTTTTACCTTGGAGATGTTAGAGCAATTGACTTTTTAAAGCTGATTCAACTTGAAAAGTAAAATTATCGACCAATGGAGTAAGTGTGTTTTTCTTAATTCAAGCAACGTTCGATTTTGTTTCTTATTTTAAGTGCAAAAAGTTATTGTTTTTCTTATTTTAAAAGTACCAGGATGTATGTTCATATTTTAAATACAAAAAGTCTTGTTCCACTGACAGATCATTTGACTCGTCAAGTGAAATTTACTCAAATCATGATAAAATTTCCTTAATTCAAGTCATTTTAACTTGACTAGATTGTGTTTTTTGCAGTGTATAACTTATTTTGATATATTGCCAAAGTTAAAGGTGCACTGTGTAACTTTTCTGGTGCATCGTCTGCCTTGATTTTCACTTTGGAGATGATGGAACAATTGATTTTATTTAAGTCGATTCAACTTGACAAGTCAAATGATCGACTAATGGAATAAGTGTGATTTTTTAAATTTAAGCAATGATCCGATTTTGTTTCTTATTTTAAGTGCAAAAAGTTGTTGTTTTTTCTTATTTTAAAAGTACCAAGATGTTTTTTCATGTTTTAAGCACAAGAAGTCTTGTTCCACTGGCAAATTATTTTACTTGTCAAGTGAAATTTATTCAAATCGTGATCAAACTTTCTTAATTCAAGTCATCTTAACTTGACTAGATTTAGTTTTTTGCAGTGTATAACTTATTTTGAGTTAAAGGTGCACTGTGTAACTTTTCTGGTGGAGCGTCTGCCTTGATTTTCACTTTGGAGATGTCATTGTTTTGACTAGAATGTTCCATAGTACGGCTTTTTCTCCATGGAGATAAGCAGGTGATGAAAAAGTTCACACTGCACACTGGAAAAAAACATGATCTAGTTTAGTTAAAATGACTTAAATTAAGAATATTTTACATTATTTGAGTGAATTCAACTTGACAAGTCAAATTATCTATGTGTTTTTCTTAATTCAAGCAACATTCAATTTATTTTATGATTTAAAATACAAAAGCTCTTGTTCCACTGGCAGATCATTTTACTTGTCAATTGAAATTTACTCAAATTGTGACAAAATTTGCTTAATTCAAGTCATCTGAACTTGACTAGATTGTGTTTTTTGCAGTGTACGTGGTGAGTCCTTTGGTTAGTCCTGGTTCAGCTCTGGTTTAGGCACGAAATAGTCCTTGTTTATGTCTTTAGATCTGGTTAAATTCTTATTTAGTCTTGGTTTAATCTGGTTTTAATGCATGGCCTGTTTAGTTCAGTTATTGTATGGTCCTAAAAGCAAATATTAGGGCAAAAAAAAAAAAAAATAAATAATAATAATAATAATAAAAAAAAAAAAAAATTAAAAATTAAATACATAATAAAAATAAAATAAAGTAAAATAAAAAAAATATATATATATATAATAAAATAAAATACATCTCTCCAGATCAGAGGTGGGCAATTATTTTATCCATGGGGCCAAATGAGAAACAGAACATATTGTGGAGGCCCAAATGCTCAACTCAATTCTGCATAATATTAATTGTATTTCTTTATAAAAAACTGTAAATATCATAGTTTTGACGAGCTGCTCAGACTGGAAAGAGTTTATGTTTTGATTAAGCAATGAAAAAGTGAGGCTTCCGAACAAAAAAAACAAAAAAAACAAACAAACACACGTCTAAAATCAGAGCAAAGCAGTTTTAGTCCATGCATGAGGTCAAATTATAAAACAAACTGATCAAATTTAGTTACTTACTTTGCTCTACGACTTTAAACACATGTATCCGGGGACGAGCAGGTGAAATGAAAAGCTAAATAAAGGTGCACTCTGTAACTTTGCCGGTGGGCGTTTTGCTATCTGCTCATCTCCATGGAAATGTTATTGCTTATTTGTGGAATCTTCCACAGGTCGAGCTGCAGGTCAAACTACAGGTCAAACTGCAGGTCAGGGGCCTCATTTATAAAAGTTAAAGTGGAATTCTTACTTGAAATATGCGTACAGACGAAACACAAACCTAGGCTGTGTACTTTGTATGTTTTGCAGTAGAATTGTGTACTAATGTTGTATTTTACCATTTAGTATTGAAGTATTATTAAAGATCCTGTGCAGTATTCTGGAAAAAATAAGTCAAAATAATCCAGAAGAGATTTTCCAGCGCAAAAAATCAGCTCTGGTCACCCCACGTAAAGATTTTGTCACATAAACGATTTGTAGTAAAAAGAAAAACCACAGATTGTTCTTAAAGTGTTTTCTGATCTGTAATTACGTTAAAATGTTGTTTCCTCGTCACAAACAGACCTGGAGTTGTGTTTTGTTTCATTCCCGCATGTTTAACACACACGTACACTCCGTTTCGAAACTGAAAACACTCTGTTCCACCTCGTGATGTCATAAAGGAAGTGCACAATTGTGTTTTTAAACCCGACACACCTTTTCACTAGAATCGTTTGGAAAATTACAGCCCTGGAATTACAGAGAATTTTGAGGTTTGGAGATGCAGACGGACTGATAATAAAGTGTTACTCCAGGTCTGGTTTTGTTTTTTTAAAAGACGTAACAACATTATAACACGACTTAATGTAATACAGGATCTTTAAACATTTCCGTTGAGGATTTTAGATGTTTTTGCTTTACGTGTTGTTGTTGTTGCTTTGTCTGTTTCTCGGTATGACGACGTCTGTTTTGCATTCACATTTTGACTCAATATTATGACAAAAACACTGGACATACATTGAAAAAATAAATACAGCAATGAAAACACACTTTGGTAAACGTACACGACTCTCCACTTGGCGATTGTGTGTATAAAAAGACGACTACGACTGCTGTTTCTTCAGTTTAAGACACACTTGTGGGTCTTGCTGGATTCTAAAAGTGAAATATCGTATCGGGAAATCACGTTTATCAACGACAGCATCAAGTTTGATCACATATCCACATCGAAGCATCTGTAGTTCAGACTCACATGAAGTCCTGGTTTAGTCCTGGTTTAGACCTGATGTAGTCCTGGTTTAGTCTTAGTTTAGTCCTGGTTTAATAGTTTAGTCCTCCTGTAGACCTGATATAGTCCTGGTTTAGTCTTAGATTTAATCCTGGTTTGGTCCTGTTTTAGACTTGATGTAGCCCTGGTTTAGTCTTAGTTTAGTTCTGGTTTAGACCTTATTTAGTCCTGGTTCAGACCTGATGTAGTCCTGGTTTAGTCTTAGTTTAGTCCTCCTGTAGACCTGATATAGTCCTGGTTTAGTCTTAATTTAATCCTGGTTTGGTCCTGTTTTAGACTTGATGTAGCCCTGGTTTAGTCTTAGTTTAGTTCTGGTTTAGACCTTATTTAGTCCTGGTTCAGACCTGATGTAGTCCTGGTCTAGTCTTAGTTTTACCCTGTTTTAGTCCTGGTTTAGTTTTAGTTAAGTCCTGGTTTAGACCTGATTTAGTCCTGAGATAGTCTTAGTTTAGTCGTGGTTTAAACTTGATGTAATCCTGGTTTAGTTCTAGTTTAGTCTTAGTTTAGTCCTGGTTTAGACTTAGTTTAGTCCTGGTTTAGTCTTAGTTTAGTCCTGATTTAGACTTGATGTAGTCCTGGTTTAGTCTTAGCTTAGTCCTGGTCTAGTTTTAGTTTAGTCCTGCTTTAGACCTTATTTAGTCCTGGTTTAGACCTGATGTAGTCCTGGTTTAATTTTAGTTTAGTCTTGGTTTAGTTTTAGTTTAGTTCTGGTTTAGTCTTAGTTTAGTCCTGG